ATTTGTGGTGAGGCCCTCTCCGTCCTGAAGAAGGCCCACCTGCAGAGGCACTCACAGGACGAAAGCACATTCCAGTACGAAGAGTTCCAAGGGCAGCTGCGCCAGGAGAAGGTCAAGGCGCTGAAAACGGACCTGTTGGGTAACCTGTGGCCCCTCCAGATGATGTCAAATTGCAACTCATGTCTTCTTCAAATTGCAACTCACGTCCTCAAAATGGTTCAGCCTCCACCACCTTTACTGCAGTCAACTGAAGGCAACCAACTGTGCCCTGGGCCCCCCAATCTTTCTCACTGCCAATGAAAACTAATAAATGAATAGGAAGAGAAGCTACCCATGTCACACTGACACAAACACCTTGCATATGAACTTTGTAAAATAATGAAAGTGTATTCTACCCCCCCCCCCCGCTTGCTCTCCCCACCTCTCAATTCCCCAGCCTTACACTGTATACAACATTAAAGTCTGTCTGTCTCTGAATTTTTATGTTATCCAAAGTAACAGAGTAGCTTATAGTTAGGAAGCCAAATAGCTATTCTAGTTGATAGTTCCTTTTTACAGACTATACAGTGGCCAGACTCTTGCTATTCAAAAGAGCTTTACTTTCATAATCATATAACTGAGAAGAATAGAAGAGGAGTCTGTAACCTGAAGTGTATGTAACACGAGGTACCACTGTACAATCTTCTGCTTATTCAAACACGCAGCCCTGTTTAGAGAAGTTTTTAATATTTAAAGCTGTACTGTTTTTAACACTTGATTGGGAGCCGCCCAGAGTGGCTGGATAAACTCAGCCAGATGGGTGGGGTATAAATAATTATTATTATTATATAGTGATCTGTTTCACTTCAGACAGATCACACTAACAAACTACAGTTACAGTTCCTCCAAGATAATTCAGTGGGGCCTCTTCTCAGTTCATTGTCTTCTGGATCAGTGCCTTAATCCTTTGTAGATTCTGTATATCACAGAATAACCATTGAGGTGTCCCCAGATGTTGTTGTCCAGTTCCCATCAGCTTCAGCCAGCAGGGCAGACAGTCAAGGATGATAGGAACTCCACTCTGGACCTCACCACCTGGACTCTGCTGCCCTATATCCTTCCCATTGAAACAAATGTGAGAATAAATTTTGGACACTATAGATTTATCCTGATCCGGTGCATGCAATGTCTTTTGTTTTGCAGCTGTGTGATTTTGTACTCGTATTGTATTGTGGTGGCCATTGGCTATAAACTATAAAATTTATAGATACGGTAGATTGAACTGCAAAAATAAGTAATAAAATAATAAAACGATTTTATTTTTTGGTCCTCACTCCAAAATGGTGTGTGTGTGTCTCCTGGTGTTTTTGGTTATATTGGGGTGGGGTGGGGGGTAGAGAAGTATAAGGCCAAAACCACGCACCTCCACTGCTAAATGGATGCAGGAGACCAGAGGCAGCGAATGAAAAAGCAGGGAAAGAGAAAGTGCCACTGTTTAGAATTAGAGAAGCCGTCCTGGTTTCTGATTTGATCCCAGAATGTCACGCTTTTCCTTAGGGTGTCCCTATTTTCATTGAAGAAATGTTGGAGGGAATGGAGTTATCCAACCCCCGGCTCTCTGAAGGCAATCCTCTATAGGAACGTTTTTTAATGTTTAATGTTTTATTATGTTTTTTATATATGTTGGAAACTTCCCAGAGTGGCTGGGGCAACGTAATAAGATGTGTGGTGTATAAATAGGAAAATTATATTTATGGAATGGGATGTCCCTATTTTCATCAGAGAAATGTTGGAGGGTTTGGAAAGGTCGGTTGCTGGAGCTAAGTGATTGCATGATCCCAACCAGCAGAGCTGGGAACTGGACTGCCTCCTCCAGCTACCCATTCGGGCTGCAGGCATAGCTGTCAACCTTCCCTTTTTTTGCGGGAAATTCCCTTATTCCAGAGCCATTTCCCGCTGCTATCCCGGATTGTTAGGTATCCTGTAGAGTAGACTGTCCCCGGGACAGGTGAGGCTGCTGATCCTTTTTTTCCGAGTCTGCTGATCCCTTTTTTTCAAATCTGAAAATTGACAGCTATGGCTGCAGGGTGGCATCGTCCCAGCTTTCTGAAAAGATTTACTGATGAGGAAACCAGTGACTGCACATCGGATCACAAGGAGACTTATTTGTGCAACATTCTGGATATCCGAGAAGATGCCAGGTAGATTCCAACGATACAATAAATTTTGAGGGACAGCGCAAGGGGGCGCATCCAGCCTCGCAGCCTCCCAGGGCCCAACCCACAGCCAGCGAGCTCCGATGCCCAGAGAGGCAGGAAACGGGGCCAGCCAGGGGGACTCGAGAGCGGCTGCACTTTCCTGTCCCCCGCCGAGGAGAGCGGAGGAGCAGCGGCCCGTGGCCTGGCGAGTTTCCCCGGAGAGGAGCCGGATTCCGCTGCAGGGACGGAGCGAGGAGTCCGAGGTGCAGGAGGGGGAGAGCACGTGGGCCTGGCAGGATCAGGCCCCGAGTGGAGTCAGAGGCTGCAGGGCGCCCCCCAACCCGGGCAGGAAGGGGAAGGGGCGCAGCTGAGGGGCAGGGCATCTGCAGGAGGGCACAGGGGCAAACATCTCTGGCTCAGGCTGGCACGGACCCTGCCGGAGACCCTGGGGAGCTGCTCCCTTCAGTCCTGAGCTCAAGGGGCAGAATGAGGGGTCCAAGGCAGCTGCTGCTTCGCGATGGACGATGCATATAGTCGCTCACGGATCAGCGGCGTACCTGGGGCTTTTGCCGCCCCTCTCCCTGTCCCTCATCAGGGAGCCCAGCCCATTTTGACGGTCCTCCCCACGGGGGAGAGGGAAGGGGAGGCGGGGGGGGGGAGGAAGAGCAGTGCAGCAGGGGGGGGCTCTTACTGTGACACCCTTTGCAGACCACTACTCCTGCCCCCCCTTCCTCTGCCAGTGCCATTGATAAACCTATCGCCCTCCTTCGTGAATTGGTCAGATCGCCTTGTAAAGCTCTCTTTGCCACCACCATCACCGCATCTTGTGGTAATGATGTCCATCCGATTCATTTAGCAAGGAAATGGCTTCTTTTGCCTGCCCCAAATCAAGGTACACTGTGCCTTTATTAGTCAGGGCTAATAAAACAGCTGATAGATCCATTCCCTGGAGAACACGTCTGAACTTTCCCCCAAGCTATCAAAGCTAGTGTGTCTGCGTGTAGATAAGTGAGAGAACCTTAAAGCATGTTTTGTTAAAGGTTTTATCTTCCACCTTCCCCAGTAATACGGCTGAGTTTTCAGACAAAGAGTTGAAGTGGGTGACGGTTTTGAGAATGCAGAGGAAAGGAGGATTCTTCAGAAGTGTTGCACATGTAAATGAATTAATGATAATAAAAACGTTGAAGACAGTATTGTAAAAGACTGAGGAAGGCAAAATTGAAATTAGCTATTCATGTTCAGATTATTACTCATTTCTATACTGTTTCATATTTTTCAGAAAAATATCTCAAAGCAATTAAAGGGAAATCTCATTGCAGTTTGTGTCCATAGGATCTTGAGAACATTAACTCTGTAGAGTTCTCTCCTCCTGATACTGTCAAATTTGATTGTTCTTTCCTAAAGAGCAGGAGGAACGAAACATTTATGGGCTTAAAGCTGCATTGATTCTGGAGGCCACATTCCAGTGAGCTTTGTGGCCAATGAATGCACATGCATGCACACACAGAAAAGAGATGCAGACCATAAAGTCACATGCACACACGCCAGAGGTGCTGCACACACTCACCAGACATGTCATCTAGCATACATACAAGTCTTGCAAACACAATCAGCATGTTTAGACCTTCCAACCCCAGATCTGGGGTGGGGGAAAATAAGAGCACAAGAAGACCCTGCTGAATTAGCAATGAGTTCTAAGAAAAAAGACCTCTTTAAAGAGCAGCCAGCAGGATCATTTATCTCCAGATCAGGGCTTCTATCCCATTTCAGCACTGTGCTGATTCCTGCTGAGATTGGAGTTTAAAGGATCTCTCTAAGTGCTCTTTAAGGGACGCGGGTGGTGCTGTGGTCAAAACCACAGAGCCTAGAGCTTACCAATCAGATGGTTGGCAGTTTGAATCCCCGCGACGGGGTGAGCTCCCATTGCTCAGTCCCTGCTCCTGCCAACCTAGCAGTTCGAAAGCACGTCAAAGTGCAAGTAGATAAATAGGTACTGCTCCAGCGGGAAGGTAAATGGCGTTTCTGTGTGCTGCTGTGGTTCTCCAGAAGTGGCTTAGTCATGCTGGCCACATGACTGTACACCGGCTCCCTCAGCCATAAAGCGAGATGAGCGCCGCAACCCCAGAGTCATCCGCAACTGGACCTAATGGTCAGGGGTCCCTTTACCTTTAAGGGCTCTTTAGACATCTCTCTCTCTCTCTGAGAGAGGTTCATCACATGATGAGACCAAGAGATGGAAACCACAGGGACCAGCAGGCCACATGAAGTGGGTTATTTGATTTTGTTGGTCAATATTCCTTCTCTTTGTTTGTTTCTTAGGCTGTGCAGACACCATACATTTAAATCACGTGTCTTCCCCCAGAAAATCATGGGAACTGTAGTTTATTGCTACAGTTCTCAGCACCCTTAAGAACTTGGGTTTCTTGGGTGAAGCCATGTACTTTAAATGTTAGGTGGGTCTGTCACAGCCTTAACCCTATAGAAAGATCTGTTGTTTCTTTTCCAACATACTAGAAGTTGCAGCCTGGATCAGCATTCCCTGTCCACTGAACGTGCTCAGTCCTCTCACTGGGTTGTTTTTGGATTTCCCTCCCACTGCCTTGGTTCTCCCACCCCCAAATATTATTTGTACTTCCATAAACCTTGGGGTTTCCCCAAGTCTGGATAACTTCTTCTTGTGCATGGGTGGGGTGGTTTGGGTGACATTGTCATTCACAGCCTGAACATAAGAATTAGGAGTAATAATATATTTCAAAAACTGACTACAGTGGAACCTCGGGTTGCAGACATAATCCATTCCGGAGGCTCATCTGCAACCCAAAGTTTCCTCAGGCCGAGGCACTGCGCATGCGCGCTGTGTGGTTTAGCGTTTCTGCGTATGTGTGAGCGTCGAAACCAGGTAGTAACCCAAAGGTAAGCAGAAGGTTACGTAGCCCGAAGGCAATGTAACCCAAGGCACCACTGTAATGGTTAAAAAATATGCTTTTGTTTTTATTCTTGAGTTTTATTCTATACCAGTGTTTCCCAACCGGTGTTCCGCGGCACACTACTGTGCCGTGAGACATTGGCTGGTGTGCCGTGGGAGGGAGGCGGGCGAGTCGGGCGGTGAGAGGCGGCGGCGGCGAGGATCCGCGTTGAGCCGGGGGCGGCTCCGCGGTGGTGGTGCCGAGCGGCGGGGCAGCGCGTGCAAAAGGGAGGAGCGCGAGACAGCGGAGGAGGAGGAGGCCGGCATGTCCGGGCAGCAGCAGCAACAACAGCAGCAGCAACTCCCGGCGACGGCTCCTCAAGCCCCGCCGCTGCCCCCTCCTCCACCCGCTATCGCCGCCACCACCACAACAGCCGCCGCCGCCTCAGTTGCCGCCGTCCCTCAGTCCCTCGCTCTGCTGCCTCCTCCCACCCCCAAAGCTTGGAGGTTCCCCGGCAAGGGGGAGGGAAAAAACTTTCACTTTCGTGCGTCCCTCCCGGCGTGACGCTGCGCGCTGACGTCACGGGGCGGGGCTTTAATGGTGGTGTGCCGCGAGATTTTTTTCAGTAAACAGGTGTGCCGTTGCCCAAAAAAGTTTGGGAAACACTGTTCTATACTGTTACTTTACTTTGTGTTGATTTCCTTTCCAGCAGGGCAGCGTACAAATGGAAGAGCAGAGGCCAAGGAGACCCATTCAAAGGGCGAGACTGGAATCCAAAGGGAAAAAATCTGCTGCAGACCAACCTGGGACCATCAGGGATCTTCTGCCTCGGGCAGATTTACATCAAATTAAGCAGGAGTCAGAGGAGGAGGAGCCGCAGCAGCACTGGGATGCCCAGTGGCAGGATTTCCTGAAGACGATGCACCCCCCTCGTTCACGGTGGGAAACCCCACAGGCTCCCAGTCCTCCCCTCTCTGGGCATGGTGTCCTTCCGGCCTCCTTCAGGGGAGCTGCGGGTGCCAGTCGGTGGCCCAATGGGAGAGCAGGGGGGACAGACCAGACCCTGCCAGACCTGAGTGGGGAGGCACACGAGGAAGGAGGGGAGCAGATTTCCTCTGTGAAAGTGAAGGAGGAGATCCTGGACGAGGAGGAGGAAGACGGCAAGATGAGGTCGGAGATGGAGCGGCAGAGCTTCCGGCGGTTCTGCTACCAGGAGGCCGAGGGGCCCCGAGAGGCCTGGCTTCGGCTCCAGGAACTTTGCTCCCGGTGGCTGAAGCCAGAGAGGCGCACCAAGGAAGAGATGGTGGAGCTGCTGGTCCTGGAGCAGTTCCTGACCATCCTGCCTGCGGAAATGCAGATCTGGGTTAAGGGATGCAGGCCAGAGACCTGCGCCCAGGCGGTGGCCCTCGCTGAGGACTTCCTGCTGCAGCTGCAAGACACCGAGGGGCTTCCGGGAAAGGTAAGTGCCTTCATCTCACCTGGGTCTCCAGCATCTCATGGTCTCAGGTCCAGTGCCTCTAGACATGGAGGTTCTGTTTAGCTATAGCAGGCACATCCAAAGCCCGTTTTAGGAGCCTAATCCGGCCCACCGGTCAGTTTAATCCAGCCCCCAGAGGCAGTTCCTTCTCTGGGTTCTAAAAAACGTTCAGCAAATTTGGGGTAAGATCCTAAAGAAAGCTCAACAACTTCAACCCTGAAAAAAGCTCAAGAACTCATGCATGTTCACTTCATCAAATCTGGCCCCCTTTGGGCACCAGATTGGGCACCCCTGAGCTATAGTGACAAAGATTCATTGACAGGCCCAACCTCCTCACTGCATTTCTCTCTAATCCTTAAAAAAAGGCTTATTAGAGCAAACATCTGGAGGCATTCAAAGCATCTTCAGGGGACTTTGGTTCTCATCAGCATAGCAGCTGTGGCGAAGGAGGTTTCCTTCCTATCACCACTGTCTTCCTGATCTAAATTGCTCCCCCACCCTGTCCATAATGCTGTTTGCTCCCCAGTGGGGGGGGGGGGAATCTAGATTTTTCTTGTGGTTTCAACGCTCCCATCTGCAGTGTAAGATTGTTGTAATGTTTGTTGAGATGATGCCCATGTTCAGGACAGGTGATTGTACCTTGGCTTATTAAACATGGAAAGGAATAAGCCATTTATTTATACAAGATCTGTGGGACTCACTTCCTGGTAGGTGTGTATAGGATTGTAGTCATTCAGATGCTGTTTATCGAAATATAGCAGCGTCTCTGCTAATCTGCCTTCCAATGTGTTGTGGGGGTTACTGGGTTGTTTTTATTTTGAATGTATTTTTTGTTTATATATATATTGTAATTTTATCCTGGGACCTGCGGTATACAAATTTTAAATAAATAAATCTGGATTTGCACCCGTGTTTCTGTTCCAGGTGTCTTGGCCTGCAGAAGATCTTGCTAATTCCCCAAAGTCTGAACAAGATCTGTTAGACACAGCAAACATTCATCTCTCTGCAGAGGCTGAGGAGGAGAGCGAAGAGGAGGCCAGCTTTCTGGGTAAGGAATAGGGGTCTGGGTCCTCTGGTCGTTTTGCAATTTCTATGGCAAAATTAGCAGGCTGCTTTTGACAGTGAAAGCTCTGAAAAAGCCACTTCCCAAACTAGCACCTTTGAGGGATTTTGAGCTGCAACTCCCACCATCTGCAGCCAGCATTACCTGAAGGGATGAATTTGGGAGAATGCTGTTGTGGGGGGAAAGCCCAACTTTCACCCTCCTTTTCTGAGACCCAGATGTGATATGCAGTGCCTCTTCGCATTTATTTACCGCGCATGGTTTTTTTTGTTAATGCAAATAACATTTTCAAGGGGTGGGTTGTTGTCAGCTCTCCTGCAGCTGCCGTTTGCATTGGGAGAAAAGCCTTGAGTGGCACCCAGGTCTCTGCCCTTTAGATCTCTCATTCCATTTCTAGAGCTTGATACAACATGGAACAAGTGGCTGTTCTGGTTGACTAGACTAGGCTGAGCATCATCTAGAAAAGGGAGAGCTTTTCTAGCTTCAGTTGCAAACTGAAAGGCCTTAGATGCCCTTTGCCACGTTCCTTTTTAAAATTGATATATTTTATTTAATGCATTTTGTTTATTAAATTTCCTTCTAGAAGAATATAGTGTTATTAGTAGTAGCAGCAACACCACAGGAAGCTGTCTTTTATCAAAGTCCATTGAGCTCAATATTGTCTACTGTACGCTGACTGGTACCAAACCTTCAGGCTTTCTGTCAGCCCTACCTGGTGAGGTCAAGAAATTAGCTGTTATTGTTTCTTTGACCCTGCCATCCCTCTTGCGAGAGGCCAGGATGGCAAACAAAGCAAAGTTAAAACCACAATGCGAAATAAAATACATATATAATTCAATATGCCAGTAAGCCGTAGATTATACAAATAGTACTACCTTCTTTGGAAGCCACAATACAGTTGTCCCATCAACAAAATAACAAAGTGACAATCTTTTAAAGTTTTCTTCTCCATAAACTTTACTGCCATCAACTAATTCATAAGCACAGTTTATGTAAATATGTGTTACATGCTTGCATGGAGAAAGAGGAAAGAGAAGTATTAAATTAAATTGCATGTTGTTAGGCTTAGTTACAGAAAGGAAACAAGGAAGGGCCATAGCTTAGTGGTAGAGCAGTTGTCTGGCATGCAGAAGGTTCCCAATTCCCAGCATCTCCAACTGAGGCTGAGAATGTCCCCTGTCCGGATAATTGTTTACAATGTTCTTTTAAGTAACTTGTACACTTCCCCTATTCTTTATTCTTTATTCTATTTGTTATCTTCTTGATCTCTGATCTTCCCAGTCATTTTAGCCATTTCAGCATAGTCCATCATCTCTGTCAGCCATTCTTCCTTTGTAGGTAGTTTATCTTCCTTCCATCTTTGAGCAAGTAGCATTTGCACAGCTGTCGTAGTGTACATAAAACTGTCTCTTCCGCTCCTTTGGTATTTCTGGACCTAAAATTCGTAGTATAAAAGCTTCTGTTTTTTCCACAAATATTCTGACTCATTATAAGGAAGCTTTCTGTGTTCCTAGATGAGTGTGGCAGTATAAAATAGCTTTGATAATTGATCCAATTTGCAGCTTTGAGGGTTTTACCTCCAGTGTGGAGTAGAGGTGAGTTTTTGATTCTCTCTTTGTTCCGGCAGGCAGCGACCACGCGTATGAGAATGGGGGCGAGTCCTTCCCCTTCGAAAGGCACCCACAAGTGGGAATCAGTGGAGTGTCCTTGGCAAGAATCAACGGGAAATTTTTCCAGGTTTGTGGGTTGGGAGAGATGCCAGGCGATCAACAGAGTCAAGAAAGCCACCGGGAGAACTCAGCAGGGGTCCAAGCTTTTCTTTGTGATGAGAGCAACAGAGGAAGCACCTTCCCCGAGGGAAGCCAGAAGGCGAAGAGGAAAAGGACAGGCCCTGACTGGGGCAGCGTTTTGCGCCGGAGCTTTGATTTCCCTCGGAATCAGAAGATGCAGAAGCTATACACGTGCACCTACTGCGGGAAGATCTCCAACAACAGTGCGCACATGATTATCCACGAGAGGACCCACACTGGGGAAAAGCCGTACAAGTGCTCAGAGTGCGGCAAGTGCTTCAGCACCAACTGCAACCTTATGAAGCACACGAGGGTCCACACGGGCGAGAAGCCGTACAAATGCTCGGACTGCGGGCGGAGCTTCAGCGACAAGGCCTCCCTTATCGTACACGAGAGAACCCACACGGGAGAGAAGCCTTACGAGTGTCCGATGTGTGGGAAAAGCTTCACCTCCAGCTCCAACCTCATCACACACAAAAGGGTGCACACGGGGGAGAAGCCGTATAAGTGCTCCGAGTGCGGCCAGAGCTTTGTCCACAGGCCCCAGCTCGTCATCCACATCCGGACACACACGGGAGAGAAGCCGTACGAGTGCCTGGAGTGCGGCAAGAGCTTCAATCAGAAAGCAGACCTCATTATACACGGGCGAACCCACACCGGGGAGAAGCCGTACGAGTGCGCGGAGTGCGGGAAAAGCTTCATCTCAAGCTCTTACCTCCGGAAACACGAAAGGCTTCACACGGGGAAGAAAACCCAAGCCGGGGAAGAAACCCACAAGTGCAGCTACTGCAGGAAGAGCTTTATCAGCCGGTCCAAGCTTCTCATCCACGAGAGAACGCACACAGGAGAGAAACCCTTTGAGTGCACCGAGTGTGGGAAAAGCTTCAGCACGAGCTCCAACCTTGTCAATCACAAGAGGGTGCACACGGGAGAGAAGCCCTATCAGTGCACGGATTGTGGGCAGAAGTTCAGCACGAACTCCAACCTTGTCAACCACAGGAGGGTTCACACAGGCGAGAAGCCCTACGAGTGCTCGGATTGCGGGCAGAGCTTTGGCCACAAAGCATCCCTTAGACGACACAAGAGAATCCACTCGAGAGAGACCACCTCCTGAGTGCTTGCATTGAGGACAAAGGTTGAGACCTGCTCTTCTCACAGGCTCGTAGGAAGCTGCCTTATACCAAGTCAGAGACCATGGGCCTGTCTAGCTTAGGAAGGGCTGTTGTAGAGCACCTGCCTCGCTCGCAGGTGGTCCTTGGTTCAATCCCCGGTGTTGCCAGGTAGGGCTCTGACTGTCTTGTCTGAAACCTTTGAGAACCACTGCCAGGTCACTGAGCTAAATGAACCAGTGGTCTGACTTGGTATAAGGCAACTTCCTATTTCTAGCTCAGAATTGGGTGCTTCCAGATGGGTGTTTACGGTGGGATAAGTGCTCCTCACCTTATGCCAGCCCATATCCTCGCCCAACCCCCCATTAGTCCAGATTTACCCTTTTCAGGAACTTTAAAAAAGACCAAGCTGTTGTCAGTGACCCGTTTGCAATGGCTCTGAACCTGCAATATTAACACCCATCCTTGAATCACCCATTTTTCACACACACTAGCAGTGGCTCTGCAGGGATTCAGGCACCTTCCTGGCCCTGCCTGGAGATGTCGGGTATTGATCCTGGAACCTGCAGGCAAAGCAGTTGCTCTACCTCTGACCTTCCCAGCTAGAACAGGCCTAGACTGCCTGCAAATCTTGCAAGGTCAGATTTTGAGCTGGAACACCAGGGATTGACGATGGTGCTTTAAATGTAAATGCTGGAAGAATTCATACTGGGGATCTCTTTTAACGGTTAAAGCAAATAAAGACAATTACTGACCTCTCTCATCGCTTAGACTCTAGGCCGGGGTGGGGAACCTCAGGCCAAACGTGAACCTTCAGGTTTCACTGCCTGGCCTTCATCATCATCATCATCATAATTTATTATTTACACCCCACTCATCTGGCTGGGTTTCCCCAGCCACTCTGGGCGGCTTCCAACTGAATATTAAAAACAATACAGCATCAGACATTAAAAACTTCCCTAAACAGGGCCGCCTTCAGTTGTCTTTTAAAAGTAAAATAGTTGTTTATTGCCTTGACATCTGCTGGGAGGGCATTCCACAGGGCAGGCGCCACTACCGAGAAGGCCCTTTGCCTGGTTCCTGTAACCTCACTTCTCGCAGCGAGGGAACCACCAGAAGGCCCTCGGCGCTGGACCTCAGCGTCCAGGCTGAACGATGGAGGTGGAGACGCTCCTTCAGGTATGCAGGACCGAGGCTGTTTAGGGCTTTAAAGGTCAGCACCAACACTTTGAATTGTGCTCGGAAACGTACTGGGAACCAGTGAAGATCTTTCAGGAGCAGTGTTATGTGGTCCCGGCGGCCACTCTCAATCACCAGTCTAGCTGCTAAATTCTGGATTAATTGCAGTTTCCGAGTCACCTTCAAAGGTAGTCCCACGTAGAGTGCATTGCAGTAGTCCAAGCGGGAGATAAATAGAGCATGCACCATTCTGGCGAGACAGTCTGTGGGCTGGTAAACAGCTGCCCTGGACACAGAATTGACCTTTGCCTCCATGGACAACTGTGAGTCCAAAATGACTCCCAGGCTGTGCACCTGGTCCTTCAGGGGCACAGTTACCCCATTCAGGATCAGGGAGTCCTCCCTTCCAGCCCGCCCCCTGTCTTCCAAGAACAGTACTTCTGTCTTGTCATTATTCAACCTCAATCCGTTAGCTGCCATCCATCCTCCAACCGCCTCCAGACACTCACACAGGACCTTCACTGCCTTCACTGGTTCTGATTTAAAAGAGAGGTAGAACTTTCCCCAGGCCGCTCCCTTCACTGGCTCCTGCACCTTTCACCAGAAGCATCCAGATTTCACAGGCAGAACACGAGGATGTAAGAAGTAGCCTTATTCATCTAGACTGGTGTTATGCATTCTGACAGGCACGGGCTCTCCAAGCTTTCGGGTGGAGAGTGGGCCTTCCACATCACCTGCTGGAGATGAGCCTTACGTGGACAAATTGTGCTCTACAGCTGGGCTATGGTGCCTTTTGAAAAGGTCCCGCATTGGGTTCCTGGAATCTCCCATAAAAAATATTTGAGATCCAATTCTGGCACTGGCATCTTTGTCGTATAAGTTGTGCCCCATGTGCAGACCGCCTCACTGACTTGAATGCATCTCCGCCATTTGCTTGAAGTGTTAAGATGGTCGGAGAAGACCTTTTGAGATCCAATTCTTGCAATTCTGTGTTGCCCCCTGTTCCCCCTCACTTGTGAAATGGAGCCCTTTCTAGTAGGGTCGGAAAGACTCTGTGCCTGAAACTATGGAGAGCTGCCTCCCAGTCATGCCAGACGATGGGGGGGGCAGTTGTAGCTAGTTGCCATGCAGAAGGTTCCCACACCCCCATGAAGGACTGGGAGAGACCCACTGTTTCGAAACTCTTGAGGAACGCGCTACCAGTCAGTGCAGACTATTCTGAGCAACATGGACCAGTTTCTCTGGCTAGGTATAGGTCACATCTAATGTCCTAACTGAACTGGCTCTACATAACTACTAGCTAATGTTATTCCAGGGGCGAACAAACAGCAAGGCTGAATTGAAGATGACACTTAATTGCCCCTCTGTGGGACATCTTTCTTCCCTGGGTTAGGGAAACAACTCTAGCATTTAAAGAATTCACCAATAGTTAAGTGAGGTGATCATCTACTGAGGACATAGTGTAGTATTCCTAACCTATGACTTAGAATTATTTTGATTTAAATAACAACAACAACAATAATTACTACATGAGGCTTGTCTGTGTTTTTTCCTCTTTCTGTCTGTTTAAATAAACTTCGTTGATTTTGTAAAGCTGTTTATGTTTTGTTTATTGTTATAGTCCTATTGTTTTGGTGGGAAATTAATTGGGGATAAGTTAAGCAAAGAGGCTTATGTTAAATTGTTTTTGTTGTTTTTTTATAAAACAGCAAAACTGGAGTAAAATCCATGGTTTGGTGTTCAGGGCTTTGACCCCACCTCTTACATGTACACAATTTCTTAGGTAAAATACTGAATTATTTTCTTTCTTTCTTTTTGTAAATTTATTTATTTGAGTTTTTCAAATCAATCAACATGCAGCACTTTATGAAGCTGGAAAATGGGTGGCTCCTGTATAGAAATGCCACTGCCATTAGACATTTGACAGTGGAACAGAGTCTCTCAGGAGGTGAAGGACTCTCCTTCAATTGAGGTTTTGTCTGGGTTGGGGGGAAGGGGGCAGGGAGAGGGAGAGACAGCCCTACAGTAAGAAAGCGTAAAGGTGATTGCAGACAGTACTTTCTCATCACGTGAGTCATTCAGATCCAGTTTCTATGGATGCCTCTGTAATTGGTGAGTTCGGCTCCCACACATTCCATTTGGAAAATTGCAATGGCTCATCCATTTATTGCTCACAACAGGGAACAAAGCTTGACAAATGTTTTGCGGTTGGGCTGTTTTCTCTCCTTTCAGTCATTTTATCCCCTTTTCCATTCTGAGCATGCGCACAGGTATTTTTATACCTATGTGCGCACATTGTTATTTAAAAAAAAACAACAAAATTTTTGAGAGAAGAGCAAATGTATTTTTCCTCTCCCATTCTCACAGTCCCAGGGAGGGTTAGTAGTTCAGGGGCAGCACACACACTTTTTATGCAGGTGGTCCTGGACCTCTGCATTGGAATCGTAGCATGAACCGAAAACTAGAATTCAAGAAAGCTGATACAGTGGTACCTCGGGTTAAGAACTTAATTCGTTCTGGAGGTCTGTTCTTAACCTAAAACTGTTCTTAACCTGAAGCACCACTTTAGCTAATGGGGCCTCCCACTGCTGCTGTGCCACCGCCGCCGCACAATTTCTGTTCTCATCCTGAAGCAAAGTACTTAACCTGAAGCACTATTTCTGGGTTAGCAGAGTCTGTAACCTGAAGCGTCTGTAACCTGAAGCATCTGTAATCCGAGGTACCACTGTATTTTTCCTCACTATTCTGTGGTATGAAAAAACCACTCTGGATCATCTCAAAGACTCTTATATTGCAACATTTTGTGGCCAGGCAGGTAACTCTGGGAAGCCCATAAGCAAGGCATGACGACTATAGCATATTCCCATTGCGACTTCTTAGCAACTCGTACTTAAAGGCACGCTGCCTCTTAAGGCCGAAAGCTACATTTTCCTTGGAGTAAGACCAACTGAATTGAATGGGGCTTACCATTTCTATGTTCAGTAGAATCGAACAGGATTGCATTGCAAACTTCTGACACATTAGTTCTGAGTGCAATATAGCTGTCATCCTTTTTCTTTTTTCTGTTGGAGGTCCTCCTCAAACAGCAGAGCAGCATGGCTATAGGTATGTTTTGTCCACAATTAATTTGTTGATCTGTAAGGCGGGTGGCACTGTGGGTTAAACCACAGAGCCTAGGGCTTACCGATCAGAAGGTCGTGGTTCGAATCCCCGCGACGGAGTGAGCTCCCATTGCTCGGTCCCTGCTCCTGCCAACCTAGCAGTTCGAAAGCACATCAAAGTGCAAGTAGATAAATAGGTACCGCTCCGGTGGAAAGGTAAACGGCGTTTCCGTGCGCTGCTCTGGTTTGCCAGAAGCGGCTTAGTCATGCTGGCCACATGACCCGGAGGCTGTACACCAGCTCCCTCGGCCAATAAAGCGAGATGAGCGTCGCAACCCCAGAGTGGTCCATAACTGGACCTAATGGTCAGGGGTCCCTTTACTTTTACCTTTAAGGCAGGGGTGGCAGAAATTTTTTTTTTGTTTGAGAGCCATTTTCCTTTCTGGGCAAACGTCCGTGGGCCAGGGATGAGTGAAGCCAGAAGTGAAAATGGGCAGATATTACTTTTCTACACTTATACCTCTTTTGTGTCTTCCATCCAGGGAAGCAAGAGGCATGATCAGAGTTCAAGGACACATTCCAGCCAGGCAAAAGCACTCGGGATGCCTGGAGAGAGTTCCCAGGGCTAGAGAAAGGTCTGCAGGGCCACATTCAGCCCCTGAGGTTCCCTGTCCATGTTTTAAGGTGACAGGACTTGTGGTTTTTTTGGTGCAAGTATATGGTGCTGGATTCCCCTGAGATTTGTATATATTGAACAGGATTGGGGGAAGATCTAGAATTTAATAAGAAAACTCTTTGCACACAATTCTTTCAGCCATTGCATGTGCATCAACTACATTTAGCATCACTGGAGTCTGAAGTGTGTATGAATTGACACACTCAAAACTTCCAGTCATCCAACTCCAGACAGAGGCTAACAATGGCTGAAAAGAAAACTATACAGAACAGGTATATTGAAAACCTTTAAAAAGAGAGAGGGAGAAACCAACAAACAAACTAATATCAAAATCACCCCAATGCAATACAAATTTTACTAGCTGCACACAATATTTCCGGGTGTTTTTTGTTTAGCAGCAGCTATTTTGCTTCTCTTGTTTGTAGGCACCAGCGCTCCAAAATAGGTGAATAAATATTTGGATCTTCTAAGGGGCCAACACCAACCTTTTGGATGCTCGGGCCCAGAGTCCATCAGATTTCTCTAGAGCAAGATAAAACGTTGGAACATTAGTTCAGCACCCATATGTTCAGCAGTGGAGAACGGTGCCCACTGTGACTGGTAGCGGGAAGGCAAGGAGGCCAACAGTAGGTGGAGCCAGAGCCCATGATAGTTCTGGTTTTGTCCCTATCCTCCCTGCTGAGTTTTGGATAATCTTCTGGCTGTTGGAGAGTGAGGTTAATGCTCTGTCTCCAATGAATTTCAGCAACTAAACTAAATATTAATATGGTGGAATCTAGCAATGACTTAATTTCTATCAAGGAATTTCAAGAATCTATCTATGAGGTCTGCTTTCCATGTGCAATTAATGGAATGTTGCCTAGAGATAAAAAAAACCCCTGTATAGTTTCACTTTTTTTTAATCTAGTAGCCATTGATCTCCAGCATAAACTATTCACACAGTCTAAATTTATGAAGCTTTCACTCCAAACTCTTCTTCACAGACATCCTAAAGGTTCACATGTAGATTTTCTGCTACGGAAACAGAGGGAATAGTGGACATTTCCTCCCGCGTTTGTATGGTTTCTCTCGTGTGTGTACCCTTTCGTGTTTCTTACAGTCAGAGCTAGAAATAAAGCTTTTCCCGCATTCATAGCACTCATAAGGCTTTTCTCCTGTGTGGGTCCTTATGTGCTTCGTCAGGGAGGATCTGTGACTTAAGCTTTTCCCACACTCAGGGCACGAATACGGTTTCTCTCCAGTATGGGTTCTCTGGTGTGTGATAAGGTTTGATTTCAAATTGAAACTTTGCCCACAATCAGAGCATTTGTAGGGTTTCTCCCCTGTGTGGGTTCTCAGGTGTTTAGTGAGGGAGGATTTATCGCTGAAACTTTTCCTACAGATGGAGCACACATATGGCTTCTCACCAGTATGGATTCTCCTGTGTGTAATAAGGTTTGACTTCCAATTAAAGCTCTGTCCACATTCTGAGCAAGTATAGGGTTTCTCCCCTGTATGTAACCTTTTATGGTTTATGAACTGATAGCCTGTGCTAAAGCTTTTCCCACACTCAGAGCATTCATATGGCTTTTGCCCAGTGTGCTTTCTCTTGTGGATAACAAGGTCTCCTTTCTGATTAAAGCTTTTCCCACAGTCTGAGCATTTATGAGGTTTTTCTCCTGTGTGGGTCCTTCTGTGCGTAAGGAGATGTGATGCCTGACTGAAGCTTTGCCCGCATTCTAAACACTTATACGGTTTCTCTCCCGTGTGAATCCTCTGGTGTTTACCAAGGATTTTCCTTTGACTGAAGCTTTGTCCGCACTCCCCACACTTATATGGTTTCTCCCCCGTGTGGATTCTGACATGTGAAACCAGATTCCCTTTCTGACAGAAGCTTTGCCCGCACTCTGAACATTTATACGGTTTCTCTCCCGTGTGTATTCTTTTGTGTTTTGTGAGGTAAGACGTGGTATTGAAGCTTTTCCCACACTCAGAGCACTTGTATGGTTTTTCTCCAGTGTGGGTTCTCTCGTGGACAAGAAGGTCTGCTCTCCTGTTAGCAATTTTCCCACAGAATGTGCATGTGTACAGCATTTTCTGATTCTTAGTTAGGTCAACGTCCTGACAGAAGTTCTTTCCACACTCTGAGTCCATCTGTATTGCCTCATGCCTCAAGAATTTATCTTGGAAACTTCCTTTGCATGAGTCACTGTTACCTTCCTCACAAAGTAACCTGTATTCTGGCATTGTCCACTGACGGTACTCCTGCTTGGATTCTTGAACTGCAGGCATCTCGTCCACCTCGTCACCCAGGAAAAACACCCCTTTAGCTGTTTCCAAGGATATTCCACTGGTGTCAATTTGCTTAAGTGGAAAAGCCTCCTTTACGCTCTCCCACTCTTGGCCTACTGGAAGAAACAGAATAAGGGCATGAGTTAGAAAAAGTTTTCTCAAAGGAATAAAGTGAATTACCCAATCCTCTACTCTTAAGACTGAGTTTTTCCTTTAAGTGATGTAGCCAAAAAGCTACCATCCACACATCAACAGGCTCAGGGAAACCCAAAGGTGTGCAGAAATACAAGCCTTACAAATGTGTCCTGAATCTTCCAGCGTTCAGGTTTGTTGAATGTCCCTGAGTCATAGTGTTAAAAGAGAGGGAGAAAAACTTCTACATATCAGAAGCATCTAGAAGTTTCCAAATAATACTAACTTTCGGATTCAAATCCTTACCCAGCAAGCTGGCCTCTCCGCAACCCTCCTCCTTGACTTCCAGAGGAATTTGGCCCTTCACAGGATTTGAGATTAACTTGGAGTAATCAGCTGCCACGTCTTCAACGGATCCTGGTGGCATCTGAAATAGAAAGGGAGGTGGGGAGATACAAATTAGAAAGTCTGCATCAATGCCAATAATTCTGATTTCTCGCAATCACTACTCCACCCAGCACTGAGGGAACAACCATGCAGGACCACCTTCGTGTGTCTGTGTCAAGTCCCTATAAAATTGAGATTTATTGCACAATATAGATGGGCAGAAGGGGAAGGTTGAATAAATCCTGGTTGCAAAGCTTCCCAGAGTGGGCTAAATTACCTCTGGGGCCTCCATGGCTCTTTGGCCAGTGAATTCCTTGAAGTAGCTGCTGACAGTGTCCTCGTCCTCCAGAATCTCTTCCTTCACTTTCACTGAAGAATCTAGGCTCTCTCGGCTGAGGCCTAGCCGGGTGCTAGACATGTCCCCTCCTCTGTGCTCCAGGCTGCCCTCAGCTCCTTCAAAGGAGACCTGGAATCCCTCAGCACCCTCTCCTGAGGTGGGCTCAAGCAGCCGTTGAGTTTTCCTTTGGGACTGAGGGGCCGGCAGGGTCTCCATGAATCCTGGCCACTGGCCTTCCCAGCCCTGCTCATTCGGTTCTTGCTTAACGGGCTGTGGAGCAGTCCCCGTCAGAAACTCCCTGGTGGCTCCTATTTGGCAGATGTGGGGTTTGCCTCTTCCTGCATCCAATCGCTCGCCTGGTCCAGGTCCTGGTGGTTCATGCACTTCCATTTTTATTCTCACTGAAGCTCCTGGACTGGAAAAGAGGGTTTGCATTAAGAAATGCAGATGCTCGGGTGGGGATTGAACCTGGAAACTTCTGCCTGCAAGGCAGGTGCTCTGAGTTGCTGTCCTCCCCCTACATCTAGAGAGCCACAGGTTCCCCACCCCATAAGCTTAAGGCTGACACTTGGTTAGAGAAGCCTTGTTTTCTCTCCAGCGCTTTTGCATCTCTTAGCCCTGCTCCTTTCCCAGTTCGAAAAGGGCGCATTGGTGCACAGATCTGGGTCCTTTGCATGTCTTCTCCCTGTTTGCAACCCTGACCGGCCAATTGCAATCCCGTCCCTGCTCTGCCGTTTCTCTCCCTCTTTCGCCTCCCAGCTGATCTCTGCCTTTCCGCTTCATCCCCTACTCAACTTACCTCTCGCTACTGTCTCCAGTGCTGGGGATTCAGATCCCTGGAGCCAAAGTCTCCTAAGGCAAAATATCCCGCCCCCAGCTATTTATTGCACCAAAGCTATGGGGATGAGCAGGAACAGGAAGTCGATGCCCCTCCAAGACGCACCCACCCCTTGCCTATCTAGGAACGGGAGAGTTGTCCGTTTAACTCTTCCCTTCGACACAAAGATTATTCCTGGCATTGCACACCTTTTACTAATGGGTGGTGGGGAGCAGAAGTTCTAGACTAACCCCTTCTGATTCATAATAAATGTATCCTCTCCCTTAGCCTCCATCTCTCCCTATTTCTGTATCTGTAGGCGTGTTGCTATTGTTTACTTATTTAATTTGCACACGGTTTTGTACAGCATCACATATCCCAGCAAATACCAACTTAAAAAAATACATCGCAGAGTCTCAGTGTCGTGTGTCCACATGTTGCATTCAAGTGATGCACAACCAGTGTACTTGTGAATACAAGAGTAGTGTTCACATGTTACATTCGATGAGTGCACAATCTGTGCAGTATACCTCTCTGTACACAAGTATTTGACACGCTTACAGTTGCTAACGTGTAGCGTTTCACAAGTCGACAGCCTGGACACCTGTGATATGCAGATCAACAAGGGTTCACTCTTTCGCAAGAGCACCTGCACATATGCAGAGACAGTGTGCACCAGTGTTCAGTGTAACGTGCGAACAAGTCTTCTGTAAATCAGGGATACACCTGCTCCTTCTGTAAAGCTTTCACACTCTTTGTAAGGCTGTAATTTGGAGCGTGGTGATAAGATACCAACCAGCTTGTTCAGTACTGGGTTTAAGTTTGTACGTAACGCGGGAGGCTGGGTGTTCTTAAAGGCTGCTTTGAATAATACTGAACAAAACAAGGAACCATAAATATATTGCACAGTCGGGGAACTCAGAAGAGACAATACCAATTTGTGGGTGTCTGCAGAGGGGCTTCAATGGGCATACACTTGCCTAGGAGTAAATCCCATTGAACTTAATGGGACTTAAAGACTGTCTATTGCAATGCGGTCCTTTTGCTGGAGAGGAAACACCTAATCAGGCAGATGGCGCTCATTCCCTCTTTTTTGCAAAATTGCGAGTTCCCGAATGGAGACAGACTTTCCAACATTAATGATCTGGTGACGGGGGTCGCACCAATGAACTCCAGCGTTTGCTGCGATGCACTGAAAGAGTTAAAGGGCACTGAACGAGGATGCCTAGAGTGGCCGGGCGTGTGTGACAAATTGGGGGAGAATTGAGGAAAGCAAAGCCACTTTCCCCTCCTCCTTTCTTTTTTAATTGAAAAACAAATCCCTCCCCCTTTTGGATTTCTTATCCTTGGAGCCATTAGGGGGCTGCTGCCAAGGGCGAGCAAGGCAAAGCCGGCCTGAAGCAGGTGAGTTCAAGGAAGGAGGGGAGGGGAAGTGGATTGAGCGGAATCTAGCAGAAGGGGATCTGTTGGGAGAGCAAGCAGAGGGTGAGAGATGAGACTCTTCTCAGGCTCAGCAAGTGCCCTCGGGCTCAGTGGAGATCAGGGCTTCCCCCTCTCACCAAGGGCGCCAAGATCAGCTAGGAAGGACCACTGATATTGGTTGTGAAGGAAGAATGGGTGCTGTGCTAATCACAAATTGTATTTATTTATTATCATAATATTCATCATACCTTCAGGATCACCGCACCGAATATGTGCTGGTTCAGACACTTGGATCCGCAGAACTGGCAATGTTAACAGGTGCCACACATACTCCTTCTGCAGCTGTAAGAAATTTATCCTTTAGTGTGGCAGGGCCAACATGTTGGAGATCCCTGCCTGTCTGCCTGTTAATAATAATAATAATAATAATAATAATAATAAGAAGAAGAAGAAGAAGAAGAAGAAGAAGAAGAAGAAGAAGAAGAAGAAGAAGAAGAATTATACCCCACCCATCTGGCTGGGTTTTCCCCAGCCACTCTGGGCGACTCTCAACAGAATTACCAAAAACACGATAAAACGTCAAACATTAAAAACTTCCCTAAACAGGACTGCCTTCAGATGTCTTCTAAAAGTCAGAAACTGTTGACATCAGGCAGGCCGCCTTCACTGTGCTCTTTGCAGCACCTGCTTAAAAACATTTTTGTGTAGGCAAACCTATGCAGACACATAGATGCTGGCATGTTTTAATATCTTTCACTGATGGTTTCTATCTTTGTTTAAATGTTATTATCTGTTTTTATTGTTAATTTTAATATTTACTGTAAGCAGAGGTTTTATCCCAGCCTCTTGCTGTAGAGCAAGGTTTCCCAGTCTTGGATCTCCAGCTGTTTTTGAACTTACAACTCCCATCATTCCTACCTAGCAGGACCAGTGGTCAGGGATGATAGGAATTGTAGTTCAAAAATAGCTGGAGGCTCAAGTTTGGGAAACACTTCTGTAGAGCATGAAACTCTTAATGCCTGGAACCCTGGAGAGCAGCTGACAGTCTGACTTGACATAAGGCAGCTTCCTGTATAAACCAGGGACCCTTCAGACATTGTTGAATGCAGTTCCCATCAGGCCCCAGCCAGCAAGGCCAACAACCAAGGATGATGGGAATTGTAGTCCAGCAATATCTGCAGGGTCACATGTTCCCCATCCATGAGTCATGGATGGTTGATAGCACATATGCTATATTTTTTATTAATAAAATGTGTCTCGTAGGGGAGAGTAAACATGCCCAGTTTTCATCGCCTGTTGCTTATTGGCATTGCTTTTCTTTTCCAGGAATAAAAATGGAGGAGCAAGACCTGAAAATGGAGGAGCAAGACCCGCAGGGCTGGGAATCTCAGCGGCAGAAGGTTTTGCCACTGCAGATGCAGCCCCCATTTTCAGGGTGGAAAAGCTTGCAGGTGCCTCAACAGGTGTCCATGGGAGTTCATAAGGATACCCAGGTCTCTTTCAGCAGGTGGCCTAGTAGAAGGGAAGATTCTCCTGTGGAAGTGAAGGAAGAGATTCTGGATGCGGATGCCGCCAGCTTGGAGATGCGGCGCCAAAGCTTCAGGCAGTTCTGCTACCTGGAGACTGACGGCCCTCGAGACGTGTGCAATCATCTCCAGGAACTCTGCTATCGGTGGCTGAAGCCAGACAGACACACCAAGGAGCAGATCGTGGACCTGGTGGTTCTGGAGCAGTTCCTGACCATCCTGCCCCAGGAGATGCAGAGCTGGGTCTGGGAACGTGGTCCGGGGAACTGCAGGGAGGCTGTGGCTCAGGTGGAGGATTTCTTGATGCAGATCCACTGGGAGGCCATGAGAACAGAACAAGAGGTGAGGGTTTTGCATGCTGTTCACCTTAATGCACCTGTGGACGGCAGTGGCAGCATAAAAAGAGACCTGTGGCGTCAGGACAAAGGTCCATCCAATCTGCTTTGCATGCAAAAGGTCCCGGGTTCAGGCCTCGGCATCTGTAGGGCTGGGAGAGTCTCTCACTGAAAATCCTGAAGAGCTGTTGCCAGTCAGTGTCGTAGACGATAGAGCCAATAACCTAAAAAGTAGAAGAGGATATGCTCTACATGGGGCTACCTTGAAGGTGACCCAGAAACTGCAATTAATCCAGAATGCGGCAGCTAGACTGGTGACTGGGAATGGCTGCCGGGACAACTTAACACCAGTCCTGAGAGATCTGCATTGGCTCCCAGTACGTTTCCGAGCACAATTCAAAGTGTTGGTGCTGACCTTTAAAGCCCTGAAGGGTCTTGGTCCAGTATACCTGAGGGAGCGTCTCCACCCCCATCGTTCAACCCAGACACTGAGATCCAGTGCCGAGGGCCTTCTAGCAGTTCCCTCATTGCGAGAAGTGAGGTTACAGGGAACCAGACAGAGGGCCTTCTTGGTAGTGGCGCCTGCCTTGTGGAACGCCCTCCCTTCAGATGTGAAGGAAATAAGCAGCTATCTTATCTTTAAAAGACATCTGAAGGCATCCCTGTTTAGGGAAGTTTTTAATATTTAATGCTGTATTGTTTTTAAAACTCGATTGGAAGCCGCCCAGAGTGGCTGGGGAAACTCAGCCAGATGGGTGGAGTATAAATAAATAAATAAATTATTATTATTATTATTATTATTATTATTATTAAATATTATCCCTCCTCACTCATGCTAGTGAGCAAGCAGCAGAGCACATTCCCTTGCACATTGCTGGAAGCAAGTTGATGGATTCGTTAGCATCATTTAAGTTGAGCAATCCAGTCTGACATGTCCAGTCTGGATTGTTCCTGGTAAGTTTCCCCCCTTTATTTCCCTCTTAAAATAATAATAACATGACAGTCTTGTTTAAAAGTGAGAGTAAAGTTTACTTACATTCACTTCACAGTATTGTCCTGAAGGCAGGCTTTATCTTGTGGTTACAGTTACATTTGTAGAGAGAAGAGGTCTGAGCTAGCCCTCAGACTTTCTACCTTGTGGCTTCCATGCTCTGTAAGGATGAGCCGTGTGCTGCTGGCTAAGAGCCAGAAGAGAGGAAGATGGCAAAAGAGCAGAAGAGGAAGATTGCTGCATGACTAGCCCTTTTTATAGGGTCACGCCCATCTATTTGGTCACACACACACACAGGCAGGATGCTCCAGAGCTGGTATGACAGGAAGTCCTCCCTGTCTGGAGCAACATTTCCCTGTGTGTCCACTCTAGGCAACAGGAAATGTTGTATTTGACTGCTTCAGTGATGATACATCTAACACGCCCACCTCCCCAACTCATTTTAAAAGAGCATTGGATGTCAAACAGCCAAAGCCCTGGTTAAATAGGAACATTTTTGCCTGGTGCCTACAGGTGTATAATGCAGGTGCCAGACGAACCTCCCTGGGGAGAGCATTCCACAGATGGGGAGCCACCGCAGAAAAGGCCCCTTCTTGTGTTGCCACCTTCCAGGCCTCACACGGAGGAGGCACACAAAGAAGGCCCTCAGAAGATGATCTTAAGGTCTAGGAATGTTCATATGGAAAGAGGCAGTCCTTGAGGTATTGTGGTTGGATTGCACCGTGTACCCAGAGGCGTCTTTCCCATAGCGCTTAGTGGTGCGTTGCGCCAGGGTGCCACCTCTTTGGGGCGCCCCAGCAAGTGGAGGAGCTGCACAGCTTTGCTGGCGGCCTCCACTTTCCCTGCATACCCGCCAGCTGCGCCCAGCCAACCATATGGCTGGCGGGCACACAACTTCCCTCCCAAGCCTCTGCGGGGATCACTCTCCTCCCGAGGAGGCTTGGGAGGAAATTAATAATAATAATAATAATAATAATAATAATAATAATAATAATAATTTATTATTTATACCCGCCCATCTGGCTGGGCTTCCCCAGCCACTCGGGGCGGCTTCCAACAAAATATTAAAATACCGTAATACATCAAACATTAAAAGCTTCCCTAAACAGGGCTGCCTTCAGATGTCTTCTAAAAGTCTGGTAGTTGTTGTTCTATTTGACATCTGGTGGGAGGGCGTTCCACAGGGAGGGTGCCACTACCAAGAAGGCCCTCTGCCTGGTTCCCTGTAACTTGGCTTCTCGCAGTGAGGGAACCGCCAGAAGGCCCTCGGCGCTGGACCTCCGTGTCCGGGCAGAACGATGGAGGTGGAGACGCTCCTTCAGGTATACTGGGCTGAGGCCATTTAGGGCTTTAAAGGTCAGCACCAACACTTTGAATTGTGCTCGGAAACATGCTGGGATCCAATGTAGGTCTTTCAAGACTGGTGTTATGTGGTCTCGGCGGCCGCTCCCAAGCCTCTGCGGGGATCGCTGGCCCGCAGCGGCATGGGAGAGAGATGCGCCCCCCAATGGCTGGCAGTGTGCAGCTACGGCCACCCCAACACTATCCGTGGTAATTTGGGGGCGCTGGGTGAATATTTGCACCCCGGCGCCGCATCTGCTAAAGACGGCCCTGCTTGTACCTCTCCTTCCGGCAACTTCTGCAGCCAAGCTGGTGCCAGATGTATTGCTCTGCTTTCCTTTGGACCACATCAGCAAGGGTGAGAGGGTTTTTTTGTCCTCTGGGTATCCCAGGACCTCCATGTACACCACCCAGGCTTGTGTTCCAGGCATGTAGCTCTAGTGTCAGTTATGCAGCAAAAACAACACGGGAGGCTGTGGTTTCACTGAATATGCCACTGTTTCTCGAGAAAGGCAGATGCCAACAACATCAGAGACTTCTGGAAAGGTCTAGCCCAAGATTCCTTTGAAGAAAGTCTGTATAAAGGTTAGCAAATAAATATTTAGCACATTGTCACTTAGCTCAGGTCTGCCTACACAGATTGACAGTTGCTCTCCTGGCCCTTTGTGGAGGTAGGGTATTGAATTAGGGACCTTCTGCTCTGCCTCTGAGCTGTGACCCCTGACAAGAGGATCCTGAACTGTGTGCCTCTTCCTGTTCCAGGTCCCCGGCCTTTCAGAAGAAGGGCCTGTTAACTTGCCTATGTTGGAGCAGAATTCATCAACCACCATGGAAATCCATCTCTTGCTGGAAGCCAAGCAAGAGGGCGATGATGGGGAGACCAAGCTGGTGGGTAAGGATTTTATTATGGCTAAATGTTAACGAGTTTCTTTTCCTGAGGTTGTTTCTGTCATTCCCTTTCCAGCACTGCTCTTTGACGGAATTATTGGCTGTCCTCTTTCTGTGGGCCTGTTTAGGGAACAGCCCTGTATTGGGAAGATTTTTAATGTTTTATTATTTTTTTATATATGTTGGCAGTGGCAACCCAGTCAGATGGATGGGTACTAATAAATTTATTATTGTTGTTGTTGTTGTTGTTGTTGTTTGACCACTGGCTCCGTTCAGGTTTCATGCCACACAATAGTTTGCACTAACCGTGGCTTAGAACCCAAACCACAATTTCAGCTGCCAGCAAGGAAACCATGGCTTAGAGCTGATTCTCCACCTTAGTTTTGGGACTACAAAACATGGACTTTTCAGCTCAGGACTACAACTCCCATCAGCCCCAGCCAACACAGCTGGTTAATGGGAGTTGTAGCCCACAACAGCTGGGAGTACCAGGTTGGTGAAGAACCCTGCCAGAGCAGAAAAAGGGTCAGGTAAATGGAGCCAGTTCCTCTGAGGAGCACTTGAGAGGGGCACGGAGGGCAGGGGAGGGGTCTGGGGGTAGGGAAAGAATGAGGAGAGTCATGAGAACCAGATAAAGAAGGCCCCAGGCCGGAGTCACTCCACTCCTCCTAAAACCAATACACCACATTAGCTATCCTGTACAGTGGTACCTCGGGTTACATACACTTCAGGTTACATACGCTTCTGGTTACAGATTCCGCTAACCCAGAAATAGTACCTCAGGTTAATAACTTTGCTTCAGGATGAGAACAGAAATTGTGCAGTGGCGGCGCGGCGGCAGCAGGAGACCCCATTAGCTAAAGTGGTGCTTCAGGTTAAGAACAATTTCAGGTTAAGAACGGACCTCCGGAACAAATTAAGTACTTAACCCGAGGTACCACTGTATTATTATTGGAGGCAATATGTAAGGTAAGAAGAGGTAACTTAGGTTGTTTTTCGATGTCTTCCAGCAGGTGATATGCAAGTGAGGATGAAGGAGGAGGATTCTGAGCTGGAAAGACTTGACTGCATGAACGTTGACACAACATCCTTGAAAAGTGCTGAAAGCCTATCCCTCCAGGCCACTGAGGAGGAAGTGAGGGATATAGGTCAGCAAAGACCCATACATCACCAGGAAGTCCATCTGGGAACAGCAGCAGAAAACACTGTTCATCCCAAGGAATGTGATGAAAGGCCCTTCCAAGGGAGGGTTCATGGGTGTAAGAGAGAAAAGATGGCCTCTGACACTGGGAAAAGCCTCTCCCAGAACTTGGTCCTTCTCAATCGTCAGAGGATGCAGAAGGGAGAAAAGGCCTTCAAATGCTCATACTGTGGGAAAATCTCAAACGGAAGGACGAACCTGATGATACACGAGAGGACCCACACGGGGGAGAGGCCCTACGAGTGCTCAGAGTGCGGGAAGAGCTTCAGCACCACCTCAAACCTCATAAACCACAAGAGGGTTCACACGGGGGAGAAACCATACACGTGCTTGGCTTGTGGACAAAGCTTCAGCCATAATGCGTCCCTGATAAGACACAGGAGGACCCATACGGGGGAGAAGCCGTACGAGTGCTCAGACTGTGGGAAAAGCTTCATTCAGAAAGGAGAACTGATTGCGCACAAGAGGACCCACACTGGAGAGAAACCGTACGAGTGTGCCGAGTGCGGAAGAAGCTTCAGCACCAGCTCTCACCTGATAAGGCATAAGAGAGTCCACATGGGTGTGAAGCGATGGAACTGCGTAGACTGCGGCAAAGGCTTCCATCAGAAACTCAGCCTTATGAAGCACAAGGGGACCTACACTGAGGAGAAGTAATAAAAGTACAGAGCAAGGATGAGGGAACCTGTGGTTCTCCAGATGTTTGGAACTCCCACTCCCACCAGTCTAAGCTAGCATGACCCAATGTTTGGGAATGATGGGAGTTGTAGTCCAGCAATATCTGGCGAGTCACAGCTTGTCCAAGAATATGGGTAGAGGGCTTCAGGTAGAAAGCCATATTGTCTTGTTTCCACGATGGAGGTGGACAGAGAGAGGCTGTGATCAGCAGCTCAGGAATAGCTTGGTCCTTACAGTTTCTAAAAACATACAAATAATGTGTGCAAACATAACTTTCCCAATCTAACCATGGTTGGAGATCAATATCATGCCACAGATTCGCTCCCCATCTCCTCTATAGTACACCCTGCTTCTTTCCCTCAGTGGACTTAACCATAGCTCAGGATTGTGTCTACCTGTAGCTCGTGTTAATCAGGATTTGCACACCTGCTGCAGTGGCAGCAAGATGCGTACACGTACAGTCAATTAAAAGTTGGTTTTATTCCAGAAAAAGCATGCCACTTGTCTGGAGCTCTCTGCCCCCGTGACTTATGGCTACCCTGATGATGACTCAACTAAATCCTCAGCGTTGTTCTTCTTCCTCCGCAAACAATGCACAAAAACAAAGCTCTTCCGTTGCTTCAATATCCCCTTTTCTTGTACCCCTCCTCTTCTGCGTTCTTGCACGCTGACAGGTTTGCAAACTGGTTCGGACAAGCTATCGTCTGCTAAGTCCTGTGTTTCTCTGGGCTGTGAACTCCCCCCTGCCCTTTCCTCTGATCTTCCCATGACAAACCTCCCTTCGTCTCCTGGGCTGCCGTCCAAGTCTGGCAGCTGCTGCTGTTCGCTTGCTGGCTCCAGCCTGACACCTGCTTAAGATTCTGGTTGCAGTCTTGTCTGAAGATAACCATGGTTAGAATTAGCGCTGTTGTCAATGTAACACTACACCATGGTTAGCTCTAAAAAAAGAGGAGGAGGGGACAAGAATTCTGGCGAAGGGGAAGAAGATTCGGGTGAATGGAGAGTCTGTGAGCACATATTTTGCATCCCAAACCATGGGAGAACGTTGCCGCTGGCACGGGCTGCTCTCTATACACACCCTCCTGGACAGACCTCAAATATTTATATTATTTATTTGCAATATTAACTGCCAATATAAAAAAATATGCCGTGATGGCGAACCATGTAAAATCAAGAATAAATTTGCCTTCGGAAATCCAAGTGCAAATGATAAATCACTACATCAGATCAAAAGAGATAGGTCAGCCATCAAGACCAGTTTATTGGCTCTCATCCAGCTGTGCCTTGGCACCAATCCAGTTGTTGCACAGCCACACCTGATTCACATGTTATGAAGCAGAATTGGGTGCCATCAGGACGCTCCAAATCCTGTCTTAGTTGCTCCCAACTGCTTTGTATAAATCAGGGGTAGGGTACCTCTCTCACCCTCGGAATCCCACCGCCAGGATGCACCCCTGCTTTGCTCCCCACTTGTTTTCTTGCCCAACTGGAATGTCTTCTTGAACTCATGATGTCTCTTGCGTCTCTGGAAAGCTGCAAAGGTAAAGTTTACATTAGTTGCTCCTCCCACTTTTGCCACTTGGACACTCCCGCTGTTGGCATGTGACCCGTGGAAGGTTGCTCAGAGGGGAATGCAGTTCTTCAGATCAAAAACGGTTCCCCATCTCTGCTATAGATGTCTAATAGCATTGGGATAAGTGCCCTGTGGAACCCAGATTCCAAGGGGCTGAAGAGCAGCTCCCCTGAAGCTGCTGCTTACAACCAACCCTGGAGGTAACTGCTGTGAAACTGTGAGCGCATTCAGTACATGCCCCACAGGGCCGACCCCAGAGGATCCCCTGGCCAATGGCATCAAAAGGATATTGAGATCAGGCCCTGTTGGGCAGCAGGAGGGGCAAAACTCTGGGTGTGCAGAAAGTCTGAGAAACGGAGGCTAAGAGCAGTGGAAAGAGCCAGGAGGGCTGGGAGAAAGCAACTGAGCATTTATTTCTAAAGACAGCTCTTCTGCGCAAGAGATGCTTTTTGAAATAAAAATACTGCAACCAGCTAGTAGCAGGGCCCAGTTCACCCGTGAGGCAGTTGCCTCAGAGGGCAGATTGGGGGACAGTAAGGGAGGGGCCGCAGGTCCAAGCCCCAGGGACGCTGCTTTCCTCACTGCCTCCTGTTGCCTGCCTCCTCCCCTGCTGCTCTCTAGCCTCCTTTTTTCACCCCCTCGGGCAGCAGCTTCAGTGGGTGATAACTTCAGCAGCAGTAGCAGGTGATCACCATTTTCTGTTTTGCTTCAAGAGGCAGTGGACTCTGCAACACAAAAAGTGGTGGACTCTCCTTCTGGGATCAAATCAGAAATCTCTCTCATTCTGGGATCAAATCAGAAACCAGGACGGCGTCTCTAAATCAGGGACATCCCTGGAAAATAGTGACACCTGGAGGGTCTGTCTTTCCCTGCTTTTTCATTCGCTGCCTCTGGTCTCCTGCATCCATTTAGCAGAGGAGGGGAGTGGTTTTGGCCTTCATACTTCTCCAGCCCCCACCCCACCTCACCCCCAATATAACCAAAAGCACAATATAACCAAAAACACACACACCATTTGGGAGTGAGGACCAAAAAAATAAAATTGTTTTACTATTTTATTACTTATTTTCACAGTTCAATCTATCTATAAATTTTATTGTTTATAGCCAATGGCCACCACAATACAATATGAGCACAAATCACACAGCTGCAAAACAAAAGACATTGCATGCACCAGGCCAGGATACATCTATAGCGTCCAAAATTTATTTTCAAGGTTGTTTCAATGGGAAGGATATAGGGCAGCAGAGTCCAGGTGGTGAGGTCCAGATTACAGCTTCCATCATCCTTGACTGTCATCCCTGCTGGCTGAAGCTGATGGGAACTGGACAACATCATCTGGGGACACCTCAATGGCTATTCTGTGATATACAGAATCTACAATACTCTCCTGGTATGTCCCACGGAGGACCTTAAGGTCCATAAATAGCAACACCCTAGAGGTCCCGGGTCCTAAGGAAGTTAGATTAGCCTCAACCAGAGCCAGGGCCTTCTCAACACTGGCTCCGGCCTGGTGGAACGCTCTGCCTCATGAGACCATGGCCCTGCGGGATCTGATTTCTTTCCGCAGGAGCTGTAAGACAGAGTTCTTCCACCAGGCCTTTGGCTTAGAATCAGTTTGATTCCATCCCCCTCTTTCTTTTTCCTTTTTCCTCCTGTGAAGAGGCTGCATCCTAATGTTTTAATGTTGTATTTTAACCTTGTTTTTTAAATTGTATTTTAATCATCAACTTGTTTTTATTATTGGTTGTTAGCCACCCTGAGCCCAGTCTTGGCTGGGGAGGGTGGGGTATAAATAAAACAATCATTTATTTATTTACAGTATTTATTATTACAAAGGATTAAGGCACTGATCCAGAAGACAATGAACTGAGAAGAGGCCCCACTGAATTACCTTGGAGCAACTATATCTAGGGGCAGGTTTCATTTGCAGCAGGGGTTGGAAGCTGGTCCCTGACATAAACCCCTTTATTTATTCCTCTGGAGATCTGAAGTCTACAAAGCAATGGGTTGTTTTATTCAGAATAAGCTCACCAAAATCAATGGAGCTAAGTTACCCATATGCACAACTTTCAGTGGGTCTAACTCCAAGCATGGTTAGCTTTGGATGCAACTCAATGAGGTTTCCCTGCCGATATGGGTGGAGGGATTGCTTTCTAGTAATCCACTTCAGCAATACAAAAACACATGTCAACAGCTGGTGGAGGTCTTGTGGAGAGGGAGAGGTGGAAAAATAAAAAATGAAACCAGGGTTGGACATCAGTGACGCTGAAATAAATTGTTTGGAACTGCTGAAAGTGTTGCTGTCTCTTTTGGAACAAAGCTGCAGGGAGAACACTGTGGGTGGGGTGGGAAAAGCAAAGCCCACTTTTTCATATTTCTGCTGATTGTGGCTGGAATGAATCCTCTCCATGGACCTCTACAAAGATGTCAACAGAGCTCTTTGCAAATAAACGTTCCCTTTCAGAGCAATCATTTTGCTCTGGAGAGAAGCGCCTCCCGGGCCTGAGAGGTAGATTTGGTCCCCTTAAGGCTTAAGCCATCCTAAGTTGGGTTTTGTTTCCTGACAGCCAAAAGAAAGGGAGGAGCATCTCTCCAGAGAAGGAGGCTCCTAGGAAGGTGTAGAGATGGGCTCCTGTGTCAGCATCGAAGAAAGACACCTCCCTCCCATCATAGTTCAGAGTCACTCGGATCCGCTTGGGCTTGTTGCTCAGGGACAGTGGAGGGTTGTCAGGGGGGTTGAAGGCACTGTACCAACCTCCCCTCTTCCCCACAGCCCAGACCCCTCCTTCAGGACTCAAGGCTAAGCAGCCCTTTCTCCTCACTGACTTCCTGGCAACCCCAACAGCCCACATCTCCTCACTTCCCACAATGACTTCCCAGTAATGGCTGCCTTTGGTGAAGCCCTCACGTCCCAGCACAGCAGGATCACTGTAGAACCTCTCAGAATTGTTGGGCAGGTGTTGATACTCGTCTCGCCATCTCACGCTTTTGCAGTCCTCAGACAGGACAAGCCGAGGATAAGCTGTGGCTGGATCCAGAGCAACATTTGCTGTTGGGGAGAGAGATGAGGCGTAAGGAAAAGAGGCAGAATCCGCGGAAAGAGAGGACACACCAATGCAAGACAAAACCCAAGAACCAGGTTCCCTCTCTCATGAAATAGGACTTCCTTGCATTGCATTCAGGATTGGGACCCTCCTCTCCTTCCTCCAGATGATAAATGCCCTTTTTGCTGTCTTTTTAAATTAGGCTCCCCCCCCTTATTCAACATATGTTGCTGGATGAACATTTTGTATATTCTGTTCATTGCCTTACATTTTTGACTTTAAATGGCTTTTACGTTGTGTATTTTATCTGCTCAAGTCGTTTTGAGACATTTTGTCTGTATAAAGAGATTGATAAATGTAATAAAGAAACAAAATAATAATGTTGTTATGTACTGAGTTGAATAGGATCCAAACTGCAGCAGTCTGATTGGTCCTAGAACAATAGGATCCAAAAGGCAGCAGTCTGATTGGTCCTAGAACAATAGGATTCAGAATGCAGCAGTCTGATTGGTCCTAGAACAATGCAGCAGTATGATTGGTTGGCAGGAACTACCCAATCATGCTCCAGATAGAAGTGAATCCACAACCTGATTGGCTTACAGTAGAATTCCGGAATTAGCCAATCATGTGCAGCCCATTGTGTAAATAATGTATATAAAGCAGATACTTTGAGGGGACTTTCATTCATTTCTCCTCACCACTATGAGCTGAATAAAGAGCATGAAATCACTTTGCGACTCTGAGTATATTTCAAATGTTATTTATGCTGTACCCCTCCTGTCAATCCAGGTATCTCAAACGACCCAGAAAATGTTTACTTCCCTTTTTTGTCTGAGTGGATCCAGGAACTGGATGCCATGATGGCTGCAACATCACAACAGTGCAATTCACTCAAGTTAAGCTACTGATTGTTCCAAGGTCTGGGGGACAGGCTGTTTAAACTCAATAAAACAACATTTCCCATCCCCTCTGTGAATTTGGTCTTCCATTGGAAATTCACCTTTCTGAGCCAGTCTGAGGAATACAGTGTCTGAAGAAGGAAGAAGATAGAAAGTTTAAGCACTACAGTGTTGGACCTCTGGTAAATCTTGTCACAAGAATATGACTTAATAACATAATGCATATTGTTTATTTAAAGTTAAAGAAATTAAGTTGAACAAATATTTTTTAAAAAAACATAATAATAATAATAATAATAATAATAATAATAATAATGTATATATACTGCCCTTTACCAGAATATATCAGGGTAGTTCATATGGGGAACAGATTAAAATAATTAAAAATGTAAAACACAGAAATAATAAATCATACTAGAAAAGATTGTCTATGAACCTCATAGTTCAAAGTAGGATCAATAGTGCTGCATAAGCTCTGCAATACCAGTCTTAGGCAGGAAGACAAAGGGGAGCTGGCCACAGCCTCACATCTGCCCCAAGTACACTGGTGGCTCCGATGGTGGGGGTTATTAAAGCTGCAATTGTTTAACATAACAAGAAACTAAACTTGCAGAGCCAGAATTGGCAAGGCTCTCAAGCAAAAGGAAGTCCCAGACCTTCCAAGTGCCCCTAGTTTCCAGGGACAGTCCCGGATTTACAGAAGCTGTCCAGGTTTCTGATTTGTCCTGCTTTTCCTTAGGACATCCCTATTTTCATCGGAGAAATGTTGGAGGGTATGAAGTCCTGCCTCACTGAATTTTAATTTCCAGTAGCATTGCCCTGGAACTCTAGAGATGGTTTTTGCATCAAAAGCTGATAGGATCATATATGGGACGTTGCCCTCTCAGAGCATACAACACAGCTCTGTTGAGTGGTCAGATAAGCAGGTTTGCCAAATGAGGTCAGTTTGGAAAGCTATGGTTTCTCTTCCTTATTTTGCAAGCAGTAACACTTCCGTACTCAAATTTCTATATGGTCTGTCTGGATCTCAATCACAGAAGGCGGAGAACTCAGTTGAAGATAGACGTCAACTTCAACACTGCTTGCACTGTGTCCTATTTTTATGCCCTTAATGTACTCCACATTGTGGTTGTGGTTCTTGTTGGAAAGTGGATAAAAGCATTTTGGGGGTTTGGGATTCTTTCAAAGCAACATTTAGGTACAGGCTGTTTGGAATGTTCCCCTTCTCCAGTGAAATGTGGAATCTCTTGTGAGACCAAGATGGTTGCAGCACTGGATTTTTTCATTCTGTGATTTGCCCTGAGATCTAATAATGAAGGGGTGGTATAAAATTAATAGATAGATACATAGAGCCAGTGGCGTAGCGTGGGGGGTGCCAGGGGTGCTGGCCGCACCGGGCGCAACATCTGGGGGGGGCGTGAGTCCAGAGGGCCCAGCCCCGTCGTGCCCTCGGCCCGCCCCTATTGTCAGAGCGGCCGGCCAGCCTCCGCCTGCTCCTACTTTGCCCACCCGAGGACTGCGGCAGCGCCCGCCCCCGTGGCCACCTACCCCCGCCTCACCCATTGGCTTGCCTCCCTCGGCCCCGCCTCTCTCTGATGGCCGCGGGGGTGTCCTGCTCGGCGCCGGCGCCTTTTTTCAGGAGGTAGGGAGGCTGGACGGGGAGGTGGGGTCGGAAGCGGGCAGAGAAGGAGGGGAGCTTGTAGCCAAAAGGGCTGCGCCAGCCGGCAAAGGACCGGGGAAAGTTTGGAGAGGAGAAACGCACCGTCATGATTTCCGGGTGGAAGCGGCAGGATTAGGGATGGCGAAGCATAATTACGCACAAATTTCGCTGGGTGAGAGCTTCGGGGATCGATCGGCGGAAATGGGAATCAATTGGAATATGAGAAAGAGAGAGAGAGGGGGACCATCATTCATAGGCATAGATTTGTAGGGATAGGGGGCGCAAATTACTTGCCTTGCCCCGGGTGCTGACAACCCACGCTATGCCGCTGCATAGAGCAGAGTCTGAGAAGGAGATGCCTCATGAGGGTAATAGGTGCTTGTTGTGAAGCCCAAGCAAACTCTGAGAACCTCCCAAAGGACCACTCCTGATTGTGTAGATTGGCAACAATATGCAAAGGAGATTCCATATAGTTATGAACAGAAACATGTTGGAACAAAAACTCAGGACTTTACAATGCAATACACCCTGGTGCATTTGCGGTGGTTACCACTCCAGCCTCTAAGGATGAGAATGGCAATATAAATGGGGCAATGGGTAGTTGGGGGGGGGATGATGATGACTAGGCTGCAAATAAGGAAGATCTGCTGGTGCTACAACTGACTATTTGGCAAGAACAAAATATAATGAAGAGTCCGGCATGCTCATTTTCAGACTTATACAATACCTAGCATAAAATACTCACCGCCATTATTCATTACCTTTGAACTGCTTCATGTCACCTTGCAGAAGGGGATTTGTAGCACAGAATTGCGAGATCCTTTTCTTCAGCTCTGGAGGTAGATCCACTGGATTCCCTAGTCTCTCTCTTTTCTCATATCTGGTGGAGAAAAACAATTTTAAACCACCCAACTCCAAGGAATGCAAAGGAATTGAGAGGAGGAAGGAACCGCTGGAAAGCCAAGAGGGAGAGGCAAGCACAGAGGGATTGAGGCCCAGAGGGATGGAGGAGATTATGGACGCCAAAGCCAGACACCTGGGGGCCAGAACACGGTCTCTGAGTCTCCCCACTTACATCTATGCCAGTAAAAAGAAACGTCAAGTGATACCATTACGCTCAGAGTTTCTCTGTTTCCAGCTTTGCTGCATTGCCTATAACAGGGTTGCCATATGTCCGAAATTTCCCAGACATAGCTCAACAACTTTGCCCCACAAAAGCCCAACAACTTCTGCATCCAGTTTTTAATTTTTTGAAACATGGTAACCCTAAAAGGGCATAAATTATCTGAGTGTATTGACAGCACACTGCATATTTCATTCCATCACCCATTCCTTGGCACTGGGCCATTCTCGCCCTCTTTTCAACCGATTGCTCAGTTCATTTTTGCCTTGATTATGCCTTTGGGCTGCTCTAACCATTTATTAAAATTCAACAAATGGAATCAAATGCAACTCGAAAAAGCACTTCGAGAAACAGCAGAGTGGGCTACAGAAGACAACTCCCACCATCTTAAAAGTATATGTAAGGGTATCTAAGAAGAAGTTTAAAAGTCTAGAAAAAAACTGAAAGGATTTTGCCTCGCTCTTAAAAGATGTTTTCTATTCTTTGTCATTTTCTGAGAAAGAGAACAAAGGAGCAGAAAAACAGGTTGGACCTGAGGGGTTCAAAGGAGGGCTCCTGTTGTTACCTGCGAAATGCTGCAGGTGTGGGGAGTCCCCCTCTCTCTCCCTTGGAGCCTGGAGGTGCAGGTTTTGTGTACTGGGCTCCTGGACCCTTCCCAGCCTCATGAGGAGAAGCTACTGGAAATGAGAAGGACCCACTTACCTCTGCAAGGTGCTTCTCACATCCTAGAGAGAAAAAGAGTGAGAGAAGAAGGGAAATCAGTGCCTGCCACAAGATAGACCCAGGATAGGATTCGCTCTGGCCCTTTGGGGCTGTGGGTTTCCCATGGAGGAGATATTCACGAGACTATTGTCAACAGACAAAATGGCTTCATTTTGACGCAGTGAAAGGTGAACTATTAGATGCAAATGAATAGAACAAAGCTGCTCCCACTTTTTAAAATCTGCAGGGAAACTTCCCAGTTTTTCATGCAACATAAGAGAGAAAACCCACATTTGGAAAACAATGGAAAGAAGCACCCATAGAATCGTAGAATTGTAGAGTTGAAGGGAACTCGAGGGTCACCCTGCTCCTCTATAGAACAGCCCTGGCAACCAAATATATATATTCCAATATATATATATTTATATCTATAAATAAGGAAACATCAAATCTTAAAAAACTTCCCAAAATGATAATAATTCCCTTATAAACACACATTCAGCTGCTTCTGCCACAGCCTTACCCGGAGGAGTTCACTTCCTGGCTGCTGGCGTTTCTCCTCCATCTCCTGGATGATCCTTTGAAGAGAGGAGAGTTCCTCAGAGAGCTGGTCCATGAGCTGATCCCTTTTTGCTGCAATCTCCTTCTCCACCTTCTCCATCTGATTCAGCAGGCGCTTCTCTTGCTTTTTGAGAAACTGGCGCAGTTGCCTGAACTCATTGGCTGCCTTTTGCCTCTCCGTTTCTATTAATTTCTGCAATAAGCAGAATAAAAAAGAAGAGGAAAGGAATTCAGCATCTCTATTTGTGTCCAATCTTCGCAGAATAGAGGGGTGTTGTGAGAATTCCACAGGAAGGGCAACTCTGGCTTCTCAAAGCCTACGGGAACGCCTCTCCTGGTATGCCCCGCGGAGGACCTTAAGGTCCACAAATGACAGCATTTTGGAGGTCCCAAGTTGCAAGGCAGTTAGATTGGTCTCAACTAGGGCCAGGGCCTTTTCAGTACTGGCCCCGACTTGGTGGAACGCTCTATCACAAGAGACCAGGGCCCTGTGGGACTTGACATCTTTCCGCAGGGCCTGCAAGACAGAGCTGTTCCGCCTGGCCTTTGGCTTGGACTCAGTCTGGCCCTTATGTTTCCCTCCCCTTATGGGTTTGATCTATGGGCTACTTTTAAAATGATGCTGCATTTTAAATTGCATTTTAACCTGTATTTTAAATTGGTTCCCCCCCCCATTATGTTTTTACTGTAATTTTACTGGTGTTAGCCGCCCTGAGCCTGGCTTTGGCAGGGGAGGGCGGGGTATAAATAACTATTATTATTACTATTATTATTATTATTATTATTATTATTATTATTAAAGGCACGATGAGAAGTCAGGAAGATGCTGACTCTGAGACTTCTAGACTGGGTGGGAAGCGTTGGGGGTAAAATGTCAAGGATTGTAACAAGTAATTTGACCCAGAAAGGGCTGGTGGTGTAAAGCAGTGTTCCCCAACCGGGGGGTCCCCATGATATTCTAAGGGGCCCACAGCAAGAGACTAGGGGGCCACAGAGGGCAGTGAAAAGTGTAGCAAGAAAATCCTGATTGGCCGGCTATTTGCTTGGCCAAACCCAAGTGGGTAAGGGGGTGCCCACCAGGGCCTGGCACTCCTTTTTGCCATTTGCGTTTTCTTGGAGTAGTCCTGTTTTTTCCCCTGGCAGGAGAGGGTGATTGCTGAGGCTCCCGTTTCAATCAATAGAGCCCACAATCTAGAACCCTCTCTTGCCCTGACCTAGCCACTGTGATCCATGTGACGGTCACCTCCAGACTGGATTATTGTAACTCACTCTACATGGGGCTGCCCTTGAGACTGACCCAGAAACTCCAGTGGGTGCAGAATAGAAAAAAATAAATAAATAAATAAATAAATAAATAAATAAATAAATAAATAAATAAATAAATAAATGTATGTATGTATGTATGTATGTATGTATGTATGTAATAATACTTTATTATTTATACTCCGCCCATCTCGCTGGGTTTCCCCAGCCACTTTGGGCGGCTTCCAACAAAACACTGAAATACAATAACCTATTAAACATTAAAAGCTTCCCTAAACAGGGCTGCCTTCAGATGTCTTCTAAAAGTTTGTAGTTATTTTTCTCTTTGACATCTGGTGGAAGGGCGTTCCCCAGGGTGGGTGCCACTACCGAGAAGGCCCTCTGCCTGGTTCCCTGTAACTTGGCTTCTCACAGCGAGGGAACTGCCAGAAGGCCCTTGGCCCTGGACCTGTAATTTTATTCCTTACGGGGTCCTCGCTGTGGGATCAAATTCACCCGGTGCTATACCAGCTGCACTGGCTCCCGGTAGAGTATAGGATCAGGTTTAAGGTGTTGGTTTTAACCTTTAAAGCCCTATACGGCCTAGGACCCTCGTACCTACAGGACCGCCTCTCCTGGTATGCCCCACGGAGGACCTTACGGTCTCCAAATAAAAACATCTTGGAGGTCCCGGGCCATAGAGAGGTTAGGCTGGCCTCAACCAGAGCCAGGGCTTTTTCAGCTGTGGCTCCAATCTGGTGGAACGCTCAGTCACAAGCGACTAGGGCCCTGCGGGACTTGACATCTTTCCGCAGGGCCTGCAAGACAGAGCTGTTCCACCTTTGGTAATCCTCACAGAACTCTAGCCCAATGGTTGCCATTAATATGATTTGAACTGATTTTATAATGAAATGATTTTAGAATGTTGTATCATTTTACTGTTGTTAGCCGCTCTGAGCCCAGCTTTGGTTGGGGAGGGCGGCATATAAATAAAATATTTTTTAAAAAACAAAAAAACCATGTCAGGTAAATGTGGTGGTGGGGTGGCAATGGGTAGGGCTGGGTGAGCCAGAGCTGCTTTTTTGCTGCACCCTGGTGGCAGCCTGGGCCTGACTCAGCAATCCACCCCAGCACCTAGTGGATCGGGGCCTTTGGATGTTGCCGAGGCGCTTTATAGGTTAAAACCAGCACTTTTAATTGGGCCCAGAAACTAATTCGTAGCCAGTGCAGTCAGGCCAGTGCAGTCAGAAGAAAGTCACACTGCGTTCAGCGGGCCTTACTCCCAGCTAAGAAATTTTAGGAGAGATGAGGGTTTTCCAAAGGACATGTGTTCTGAGGACTTGGGCTGCCTCTTGGCTTTTGTTTCTCTGCATTTTACATGAAGTTTCTTAATATGAGGGTGATGGCTTACGTCCTCCTTCCCTTCCCAGTGTCCAGGTCACTTACCAGCAGGTCTTCGCTTTCCCTTTTCACCGCTGCTTTTTTTACCAGAATTTTCTCTCTCTCCTCCAGCAGATTCTCCAGGCAACTATCCATCACATTCTGAAGAGAAAACAAAAACTCAGGATTGATTTGCAGAGAGTAGAGGTGGACGATATGCTTATTTTCTGCCATGTATTCAAGCGCCTGGGAACAAGGCCGGCCCTGTGCTTAGGAAGAGTGATAGGCTTGGAGCTGCTCTGTCTCCTTGCAGAGGATGCGATCCTAGGTTTTAAGTGAGTAGTTGCAAAGTGCTTTCTGTCATTTTTGAGTAAGACCTGTTTGTATAACTCCTGCTATTTCTATAAATGATATTTTTACTAGAGGCTTATGTGAATTGCTGAAACAGGCACATAGCCTAAAAGGTAAATACAAATATATGTATAATTGCCATTTTTAGGGCAATTTCCTGTTTGATTTCACCCTTAATTCAAATTATGAAGTTATTCTAAAGTTCAGTTTACATTGCTAGATAGCATGTGAGAGGAGTTTTTCAAAACTAAAATTAATCAAGAGTTATCTTAGGTCCAGGATGAGTCAAGCTCGGATCTCTGGCTTGGCCATCTTGCCAATTGAAAATAAAGTAGCGAGAGGAATTGATTTTGATGATGTGATTTCAAAATTTGCAGAGAACAAAGTTCGGAAAAAGGGGTTTTAAGTGCTTTTGCCTACAATGTTAAGTAAATAAACCAGAAAATAACACCTGCAACTAAGTATCTCATTTTTCCTTCTTTTAATAATTTCAATGTGGGGGGGGCGGGGCGGGGTGACAAGAAATTTTAGCACCGGGTACCGCCTGATGTTACTACGCCACTGAGCATAAGTGTGGATGAACCCTAAGATTCTCCTGTCAGACTGCACAGCTGCTGTGTTTGTAATGAGGAGAAGGGTGTTACCTTGTTCTTCACCCCTTGGGATGGATGAAACTATCCTTTACAAAATGTTCCAGGAAATGTCAAAACAAAGAATCCCTTAATACAGAATTTTTTTAGGGGAAAGATGGGAGCCCCCATTATTATTATTATTAATTATTTATACCCCGCCCATCTGGCTGGGATTCCCCAGCCACTCTGGGCAGCTTCCAACAAAACACTAAAATACAATAACCTATTAAACATTAAAAGCTTCCCTAAACAGGGCTGCCTTTAGATGTCTTCTAAAAGTTTGGTAGTTATTATTCTCTTTGACATTTGGTGGGAGGGCGTTCCACAGGGCGGGCGTCACTACCGAGAAGGCCCTCTGCCTGGTTCCCTGTAACTTGGCTTCTCACAGCAAGGGAACCGCCAGAAGGCCCTCGGCGCTGGACCTCAGTGTCCGGGTAGAACGATGGAGGTGGAGACACTCCTTCAGGTATACTGGACCGAGACCACTACCTACAGAAAACTAGAAGCTCCCTTGCATTGGGAGTTGCTTTCCAGACACATTGAGACAATATTCTGCAAAGAGAACGCATGGTGGGGAGGAGGAAGGAGTCAGTTACCAAGTGCAAAGATGACTTCGTACCTTGTATTCCTGGACAACTTCTTCCTTGAGGACCACAGTGTGCGATTCATGTTCCGGGGAACGTTCACAAAACATGCACACCAATTCTTTATCATCTCTGCAGAACAGGTGGAGTCTTTCCTTGTGTTTCTCACATAGCTCCTTTCCTCGGAGTTTAAACTTTTCTGATATATTTGCCAGGTCCCAATTGGGACGGAAATTCCCTTTCTGGATCTTGGCTCTGCAGACAGGACACGCCAAGTCCCCCGCACCCTTTTCTTCCCATTTATCGCTGCAGTTCTGGATGCAGCCCTGACAGAAGTTGTGGCCGCAGTCCAAGGTCACGGGGTCTGTCAGATAGTCCCTGCAGATGGGGCACTTAACTTCATCCTCCACATCTGTGGATGGAGAATAGGAGGCCATGGTGGGTGGAGAGTCTGTGGCTTTGTTGACAGAAGAGGCAGCTGTAGAAAAAAACGCAAGATGAGAAGCAGCTAGAGGATAAAGGCCAGTTGGGGGGAAAACTATTGGTCAATAAGCATTTCAAAATTCTTCCAGTGAGGAGTGACCGTGCCTCCAGACTGTGTGTGTGAAATAGATTAAATAGCTCCACCATCCTAGTGGAACAAACAAAATTTAAAAACACTTGGCCTTTTTGTGGTCTGCAATAGAAGTTTCTTGCCTGGGGCTAACAGTTTCTGTGTGGATGTCTTATTTTCCACAGGATTGTGAAGGCGAAGGCAAGAGTTAAAACACCCCTGCAGGTTCACTGAGAACTGAATGAAAACAGCCCTTTCTGAGCAACCAGCTGCCTGGGACCATAAATTGGGGTCTAGTGGTAAAATACTCACCCCTGGATTAGCTTTCTCTTGCTGCCAAGATGCGGGGCTGACTGATCGACGAGAAATTCTGAGGCTTCCTTTTTCCTCGGTCAGCTATTCCTGCTCTTGCTCCCTCGCCCTTTCTTTATGACAGGGCAGAGAAGTGCGCATGATGTAACTACAACCAGGAACTGTTGCCTTAAATGGTGCTTCTGGGAATGCTCATCTTCCTCCCTCTCTCCCTTCACTTCTCAAATATCACTGATTTCCTCTTCATCTTTGCTCCACCCGAAAGAAAGAAAGAAAGAAAGAAAGAAAGAAAGAAAGAAAGAAAGAAAGAAAACCACCCTTCTCCATCGTTATTGAATTGAGCATTTGTGTGAGACGTCTTTATACAAAACAGAACAAAGACATAGTTTCTTTGGGGGGAGGCATGGAAGGCTTTTTAAAATCAGAAATATTACAGTAAATGGTTAACGAGTAACTGCTTTGGCCTTTCTAGCATGAACTTTGCCTGACACTTCAGCCACACCCATATTGTTCCTGATGCAGATATAGACTGGCTGTTCCTCTGTGTGTTCTGGGAGATCAAGAGGAAGGGAACTGGTCACAGTAGGAGGAAGATTCCCTGGCTTCTCCAGCAGCCTGCCTGATCTCTTCTTCTTGCCCCCCCCCCCCCGCTTCTGCCTCTGATTCTGGACTTCTCTCTGGTGCAGACTCTCCCTGCTCACTAAGCCCTGTTGCCCCTTCAGCTTCTGACACCTCCTCCTCCTCCCTGTCTACTCCTTTTTCTCCCTCTGACCACCCATTGTCATCCCACCTCTACTCCCCTATCTCTGAGCTTTCTTCCCCTGGGGGTTCTCTTAGGGGTCCCCCAGCTCGTGTCTCCCACCACTCCTCATCCAGTCAGTCCATGGCAGTATGTCTTTCTTGTCTGCCTTCACTGCCACTCAGTAGGCTTGGTGGGGAGCCCTTTCCAATTTTTGATAACATTTGACAGGATCTTTCCTCCAGTTGTGTTTGAGCTGTCTCCTAGCTTGCTTCTTTGCCCTAAGCTCTGGAGTAGACCAGGGAGCCAAGTGGGCTCCACAAAGTGGGAGAGAGCCATTCAGATGTTCCAGAGGTCAGTCAGGGCTTTCACAGGAGCACTTGTCACCAACTGCCTACGCCATGTGCTCCTTACCCAGCCTGCCCCATTTCCCCCATACAGTGGGACCTCTGGTTACATACGCTTCAGGTTACAGACTCCACTAACCCAGAAATAGTAACTCGGGTTAAGAACTTTGCTTTAGGATGAGAACAGAAATCGTGCGGTGACAGCAGGAGGCCCCATTAGCTAAAGTGGTGCTTCAGGTTACGAACAGTTTCAGGTTAAGAATAGATCTCCAGAACGAATTAAGTTCTTAACCTGAGGTACCACTGCATTTCCCCCTACTCTGAAGCACTGTAATTACCCCTCCCCTTCTCCCAAGCTCCTCTCTTCCCAGGCGCATCCTGCACTCATTTAAAGCAAAACAACCAAAATTTAAATGTTGTTGTTTAGTTGTTTAGTCGTGTCCGCCTCTTCGTGACCCCAGAGCACGCCAGGCACTCCTGTCTTCCACTGCCTCCCACAGTTTGGTCAAACTCATGTTTGTAGCTTCGAGAACACTGTCCAACCATCTCGTCCTCTGTTGTCCCCTTCTCCTTGTGCCCTCCATCTTTCCCAACATCAGGGTCTTTTCCAGGGAGTCTTCTCTTCTCATGAGGTGGCCAAAGTATTGGAGCCACCTCCAATAAAATTTAAATACCCACAGATTAAAAGCCATTTTAAAGCATTTTAGACATTTGGGGCAGTAAAACCAATAACGGAGACCTGAAAAGGAGCCCCTAAGCACTGCCCCAACCCAAGAGTTTGTTTCAGCATTATTTTTTAATATGGAGGCTGGATTCTGCCCTCCGGGTCAGGTGGAAAAGGCCTCCCCGCAGTGGATAAGTCCTCCAGCATGAGTTCTGGGGCCATGAGTTCTGTGAACTAGACCCTCCATGGCCAGAAGAGAGCTACCACAGTGAAGCAGATCTGACTCGCCTGAGAAATAGCTGGATTAAGGCTGTGCAAAGGCATTGTGAGCCCACCCCCAGCCAGAGGAAGTCAGGGCATCCATGCCCATTGCTCCCTGGGTCCTGAACCAGGAGAAGAGCTCCACCTTTTGGTTTTCTGGACTTGCAAACAGGTCCACTCTTGGGAGGACAAACTGATCCCCTATTTGCTGCAAAACCTGTTGGCGAAGGCTCCATTCCACCTGGGAGGTCTGCTATGTGGTCTGCTGATAGGGATTATAGATTCCATCACATCTGAAAGTGGAGGGCCTGTCTGGCCACTCTGAGCTCCAACCTGTTTATGGATTGGCTGGCTTCTTCCTTGGATCAGGTCCCTTGGGCATACTGGTATTCTGTGTGGGCTCCCCACCCCAAGAGACTTGTGCCCATGGCTATTTGCACCTGTTAGGGTGCTGTTAGATGGTAGTCCAAGAAAGTATAAAGACAAGGGAAAGTTTCTAACAGTCCTTATTTATTTCAAACTTTATAGAGAGAAGCTGTAGAACCCAGCCTCTTGGATAATGGCATTGTCCCAAGTGAACACCCCCCCAATCTCTCCCACCTCCTCATTCGCCGCCATCCGCATCACCTGCTCTGCCACTAAGTGCTCTTTGTCTTCAAGCTCTTTGCTCTCCTACTTTTATGGCTCACTGGTTTCCCCAAGTTTGGGAAAGTGTTAAGGATAATAGTTTAATTTCCATAAACCTGCCCTTCTACATTCCTTGAATTTCATTGTCTGTCTGACCTCACTTTTTTCTTTCCACCCATGAACACATGGGTGGGTGTGTGTGTAGAGAGATAAATATAAGCAGCTTACATTCATGCTTCATGCATCTGACAAAGGGCATTTCCAAACCATCTCTGTTTTGGGGTGGGATTCAGTCACACACAGGAAAATTCAGGTTTCGTAATTAAAGCTGCTTTGGAGTTCTTGCGCAACAAACACACTTCACCAAAAGACTGGGCGCTCTGCAAGGAACAAAACGACCGGGCAGGGGGGTGGCACAGACCAACCAAACGATACAGTGGAATACATGAGAATAAATCTCTTGAAAGGGATCTTTGCTTTATTGAAATTTCATGAACCCATTACCAGCAAAAACCCATTTTGAACAACAACAAAAGTAGATTATTAGTAACTGGCCCAAAGGAATCCAAAGCAGCCATATTCACAAACTGAGGAAGTGTACGTGGGAATGATGCACTGAAGCAGGAAATCCGGATCCGGCTCTCTGTTCTGACCAATAAGCAGCATTGTGGGGAAAGTCCAGAATGCCAGATTCCAAGCTATCCAGATCAACAGTTCAAATTAAAAAAGCAAGGGTCTCCAAACAGCATGGCCCCGAAGATGGAAAACAAACACTACCAAATTCTTTTCTGCACATCCAGAGACTTGACAGTCATCATCACTTATCAGGAACACAGGGAACCCTGAGTGGAAAACTCCATACATTTATATGGTTATCCGCCTGTGTGAATTTGCTTATGAATATTAAGGTCTCCACTCCCTCTGGAGCTCTTTCCAGATTCCATACATCTATAATTTCCCCCTGTGTGAGTTAGCTGATTTTTCCTAAGGTGTTCCTTTTCAATGAAGCTCTTTCAACATTCAATACGTTTAAATGGCTTCTTCCCAGTGTGAGTCCGTTGATGTTTTCTAAGTGATCCACTTCCACTGAAGCTCTTTCCACATTCAATACATTTATATGGTTTCTCCCCCGTGTGAGTCCGTTGATGTTTTCTAAGTGATCCACTTCCACTGAAGCTCTTTCCACATTCAATACATTTAAATGGTTTCTCCCCTGTGTGAGTTCGTTGGTGTGTTCTAAAGTGTTCAATTCTACTGAAGCACTTTCCACAATCAATACATTTAAATGGTTTCTCCCCCGTATGAGTTCGTTGGTGTGTTCTAAGGTTTCCATACTGACTGAAGCTCTTTCCACATTCAATACATTCAAATGGTTTCTCCCCCGTGTGAGTTCGTTGGTGTGTTCTAAGGTTTCCACTTGTACTGAAGCTCTTTCCACATTCAATACATTCAAATGGTTTCTCACCCGTGTGAGTTCGTTGATGTATTCTAAAGGTTCCACTTGTACTGAAGCTCTTTCCACATTCAATACATTCAAATGGTTTCTCCCCCGTGTGAGTTCCTTGATGCGTTCTAAGGTGTCCACTTCCACTGAAGCTTTTTCCACATTCAATACATTTAAATGGTTTCTCGCCCGTGTGAGTTCGTTGATGTTTTCTAAGTGCTCCACTTTCACTGAAGCTCTTTCCACAATCAATACATTTAAATGGTTTCTCCCCCGTGTGAGTTCGTTGGTGCGTTCTAAGGTTTCCCCTTTCACTGAAGCTCTTTCCACATTCAATACATTTAAAGGGTTTCTCCGTGTGAGTTCGTTGATGTATTCTAAGGTTTCCACGTTGAATGAAGCTCTTTCCACATTCAATACATTCAAATGATTTCTCCCCCGTGTGAGTTCGTTGGTGTGTTCTAAGGTTTCCCCTTTCACTGAAGCTCTTTCCACATTCAATACATTTAAAGGGTTTCTCCCCTGTGTGAGTTCGTTGATGTCTTCTAAGTGATCCACTTTGACTGAAGCTCTTTCCACATTCAATACATTCAAATGGTTTCTCCCCCGTGTGAGTTCGTTGATGCATTCTAAGGTGTCCACTTCCACTGAAGCTCTTTCCACATTCAATACATTTAAAGGGTTTCTCTGTGTGAGTTCGTTGATGTATTCTAAAGTGTTCAATTCTACTGAAGCACTTTCCACAATCAATACATTTAAATGGTTTCTCCCCCGTATGAGTTCGTTGGTGTGTTCTAAGGTTTCCATACTGACTGAAGCTCTTTCCACATTCAATACATTTAAATGGTTTCTCCCCTGTGTGAGTTCGTTGGTGTGTTCTAAAGTGTTCAATTCTACTGAAGCACTTTCCACAATCAATACATTTAAATGGTTTCTCCCCCGTATGAGTTTGTTGGTGTGTTCTAAGGTTTCCATACTGACTGAAGCTCTTTCCACATTCAATACATTCAAATGGTTTCTCCCCCGTGTGAGTTCGTTGGTGTGTTCTAAGGTTTCCACTTGTACTGAAGCTATTTCCACATTCAATACATTCAAATGGTTTCTCCCCCGTGTGAGTTCGTTGGTGTGTTCTAAGGTTTCCACTTGTACTGAAGCTCTTTCCACATTCAATACATTCAAATGGTTTCTCCCCCGTGTGAGTTCCTTGATGCATTCTAAGGTGTCCACTTCCACTGAAGCTTTTTCCACATTCAATACATTTAAATGGTTTCTCGCCCGTGTGAGTTCGTTGATGTCTTCTAAGTGATGCACTTTGACTGAAGCTCTTTCCACATTCAATACATTTAAATGGTTTCTCCCCTGTGTGAATTTGTTGGTGTATCCTCAGTTTTCCCCTGTGACTAAAGTACATGCCACATTCCATGCATTTAAACTGTTTCTTTGTTCTTCCTAATGAATACAAAGGCTCCATAGAATACTGGCCGTCATCTTCCTCACCTGTTTGGGAGTAGAGGTGAGAGAATCCTGTTAAGACTTTCAAGAAAGACAAGAAAGGGACTGAACACATTCCAAACCCAATGTCCACATTCTGTTATTTTAACACTTTCCCCATTCCCCACTGTCCTCTCTATGTTCCAATTTATAGCAATGCGGATGAGAAAATGGCAAGAGCAACACATGATCACTCCATTCACACTAAGTAATACAGCATCATTTTATAATGCAGATCTATGGTAGCATAGTCAAGACCGCATTTTACCAGCTTCTTTACAAGAATATCATGGGGCACCTTGTCAAATGCCTTACTGAAATCAAGGTAGGCTATATCCACTGAGTTCCCTTCATCTACCAGGCTTGTAATTCTGTCAAAAAACGAGATCAGGTTAGTCTAGTATCTTGCTAGAATGGGAAATAAAAGATGAGGAGGTCAAATCAAATGGGCACAAGATATAGGACACAATATACAATTTGAGCACTGGGAAAAAGCGTGGAAAATATTTTTAAAATTTACAGACTGTTCTCTTTTGAAAGAAAACTATATGAAAATGATGTATAGATGGTATATAACACCAGTACAGATAACAAAAATGTATAAAACCTGGTTAAACACATGTTGGAAATGTAAAGAAAAAGAAGGGACTTTTTATCATATGTGGTGGGAATGTAGAGAAGTAAAAAAAATAACGGGAAATGATATATAATGAATGGGAAAAAATGTTTAAATTAACATATGTTAAAAAAACCAGAAGCATTTTTGTTAGGGATTGTAGGGCAAGACCTGCCAAAAAAAATAAAGAACTTATTTATGTATGCTACAAAACGGCAAGAGTCTTGTTAGCACAAGGATGGAAGAATGAGGAAATCCCAACGAAAGAACAATGGCAAGAAAAATTGATGAGCTATGCGGCATTTGTAGCGTTCGCACCCCGAAATTCTACAACCCGAACCTAATGTAAGTAGAGATATTATGGCCTAAGCTTTTGTGGGCTGCAGTCTGACAAAGTGGACTCTTGTCCAGGAAAGCTGGTGCCACTATAAACTTATGAGTCTCTTTGTTGGCTTTGTGTACCAAAGTTGTACCACAGTTTCTCCATGTAAGCTTATGGGTGGACAAAATTGCACGGGTGCTCTAAATTATTATCCCTCCCACTCCCTCACTCACTCACTTTCACACACAACCCCAGTCTGTAAGATTGGCAAGTTTACACAATTTGCTTATAATACTAGCCACCTTTGGTCTTCCTCTGCCCAATCCCATGTATAGAGCCTCCAGCCACAGGAATTGTGTATCATGATAATTGGTCCTTTGTCCCTAAACAAATCAAACTGGGGAGGTGCATGCATTTATTGTGTTTGGATGCGGGTGGAATGTACCACTCTGACCCTGTCTATAAAAAATAAAAGTAATAGAAACAATTTAAATATATGAATTATAAATAATTATACCTGGAGTACTGTGTCCAGTTCTGGGCATCACAGTTCAAGAAGGACACTGACAAACTGGAACGTGTCCAGAGGAGGGCAACCAAAATGGTCAAAGGCCTGGAAACGATGCCTTATGAGGAATGGCTAAGGGAGCTGGGCATGTTTAGCCTGGAGGTTAAGGGGTGATATGATAGCCATGTTCAAATATATAAAAGGATGTCACATAGAGGAGGGAGAAAGGTTGTTTTCTGCTGCTCCAGAGAAGCGGACACGGAGCAATGGATCCAAACTACAAGAAAGAAGATTCCACCTAAACATTAGGAAGAACTTCCTGACAGTAAGAGCTGTTCGACAGTGGAATTTGCTGCCAAGGAGTGTGGTGGAGTCTCCTTCTTTGGAGGTCTTTAAGCAGAGGCTTGACAACCATATGTCAGGAGTGCTCTGATGGTGTTTCCTGCTTGGCAGGGGGTTGGACTCGATGGCCCTTGTGGTCTCTTCCAACTCTATGATTCTATGATAATTACAGGAAAGCATTTCCATAGCCCTCTTCACCCATTTTTCTGGATTGGTGTGCAACATCATTATCATCAATTAATCCCGCAGTGGAAATAAAATGAGAGATTTAAAAGCCTGGAGGAAGAAAATCTGCTCCCACTACTTTATGAAAGGGATTCCAAAAACAAAGAGCTGCTTTGGAGAAGGCCTCACCCCTTCCTTCTTACTGCCAGGAACTCTCGGCCTTTTGTCACCTCTCCATCTTTTCCTCTTTCTCCCTCCACCATCCATCCCTGTCCCCATATCCTCTCCCCTGGAACTCACCAGATTTCTCCAAGGGTCTTGGGAGGAAATGCTCAGAGGTTGTGGGGAGGGATGCGGGAGACAGCCTGACCAGGTCACCCGTCCATCTTCCTCCTTCCATCCTGGCCAGGGTTGCAGGTTCAGTCTCAGCTAGGTTTGCAGGTTCAGCTTCCTGAGGAGCCCAGAAGCCAGAGCAAGTTGCAGCTTCCTGGGAGGGAGGGAAGAAGAAGAAAAGGGAGTTTCAGAGCCCCTGCAGGGATTCTCCTGCCCATGGGGCTTCCAGTTCTGGTCTGCCTTAATGGAGGCAACTCCTACAACAGCGGGAGATCATTATCGAAGAAAAAACAAGTATGATTGAGGGTAATCACCATTGCAAATCCCCCCCAGGGATGGGGAAACGGGCTTCACTCACAGATTGTCTTGGTACCTGGCTCTTGCTCTGGAATGGAATGAGAGAGGCAAGGGAGGCACTGAGTACAAAAGCACTTTGCCTGCCGATAACTCTCCTAAGCTGCCATGAAGAAGCAGAGGTATTTCTGTTCATTAGATTTTAATTTGGACTAATCTGCAGAGGCGTGCTGGGAAAGGTGAGATCATGAACTACATAATCGAAAAGTTGCAAGCTCGTTAAGGTTTTAACTTGGAAAAACAACATCATTCCGTGTAAAAGTCGGAGTGGGGTGGAAGCCTTTGGCTTCTTTATACTAAGTTTGATTTTTTATATTTATGATTTGGCAACTCTCCCCTGAAATACTTGTTAAAATCATGGATGTATTGGCGATGACGGTGAAAAATGGATTGCAGATGTGGAATATAACATCAAATGGAACTGTGTGTGTAAAGAAAAAATGGGGGGGGAGGGGGAGAAACTATATTTTCCAAAGGTTTATGAGAGACACCATTCCCTACTTTTTATCCTCAGGCTGAACTGAATAATGCTAAAGACTTCAAATTTAGTTTAATTGGATCTAACTTCTTATCGGCTGAATGGAGAAATAACAGTGGGCTGGAAGCTTGCCAAAGAAGGTTCATTACTAGCTAGCTAGCTAGCTTTCCTCTCCTCGCCAGGCTGAGAGGAAATGGTGTATACTTATTTTGATAGTATGATTTCTGCAGCTGCTGCTTGAGGTGCAAAATAATGAAGCTTGGAATGGTGCAATGGAGAACTTATGAAACAGCTGTGGAATACTAGCTGCACCCAAGACATGATGTAGAACAGCAACAACTAACAAAGGATAGACATAATACAGTCCAAGGACAGGAAGAAACATTATGGACACAATAATAGCCACACACAAGAACAAAGAGAGTTTGAATGCTTCACCCCTAGGACTGTAAATTATTTGATGTGTTAACGCAAATAGAAGTCGTTAAAATTGCAGATGTGATATAAGGGTTTGTTATTCTGACTTGTGTGTAATTGGAATTAGTAAGATTTTGGAATGAAGATAAAGTAAATCATCCAGCCATCAATTCACGTGGGGACCAACAAAATTGTATCATTTGGCGTCTGAACAATTGGCATTATTAATTGTATTATAATTTGGTGTTGTGTCAATGAGGCTTTTATTGGATTATTGTAATTGAAAATCTGTGTGTGTGCGCATGCATATATATATATATATATATCCCATGGGACTTAAGAGTTCATCTGCAAAGGACTGCTCTGAATACATGGGTGGCCCTTGCACGGAGAAGAAGGAAGCCCCTTGCTTGCATCTGGACCCCCTGGGAGAGGCGGTGGATCCGCCCACTGCTCCCTCTGCCCTCTCTGCCTCCTCCTCTGCCCTCCTGCCCTGCAAACACCCTTTGCTCCTGTTGCTCAGGGGAGAGAGGCAGCAAGAGCCTTCAAACCCATCCCTTTCCTCCTCTGCAGCCCAGTGAGGGGAAGGAGCTGCAGCGCCTGGTTCACTTCAGATACACACATGGTTTACTGGGAAGTGAATGAACATGGCCTCTGCCTTCCATGCGGTGGGAGTGGGGTGGGTTAAAAGTGGTGAGGAGACCCCCCCCCAGTCCTTTTGGGAAACAGGAGATTTGGTCAGGAGTAAACAACTTAGATGGCAAGTTCACAAGAGAAGCACTTTGGAGCACTGCTTGCTCATACATGTGTGTTCTGTGTGTGTTTGGACCTAGAAGACAACATACATGTTTATACCACATGATTCCTTAAAGAGGGCACTTCTTTAAATTTGAAGGGCATTTCTACAAAACGGAAGACTTCTGAAGGCAGCTCTGTACAGGGAAGTTTTTGGTGTTTTTTATTTTGTTGGAAGCCACCCAGTGTGGCTGAAGCAATCCAGTCAGATAGGCTGAGTGCAATTATTATTATTAATTATTATTATTATTATTATTCCCTCCTAAGCCCATCCTGCTATACATGCTGGTCAGAGACTCTGTCCCAACCTCCCCCTTGAACACAACAGGGCTTCCTGTTTTTCCTGCTATTCTTTACATTTCTATACTGCCCTTCCTCCGAAGATCACAGGGCAGCTTACAAGAGAAAAACACAGAGATGCATAACAGAGTAAGAAATAAAAAGGACAACGTCCCTTCCTCTGCAGTTGTGAAGGCCATAGATAGTTTCATGAGCCAAATGCCTGAGAGAAGAGGAATGCTTTGGCCTGGTACCTAAAGATAAGGAAGGAAGGAAG